CTCCATCTTATCTGGACTGAGCTTCAGTTTATTGGCCTTCATCCAGTCCATTATCAAGCTCAGTCAGTGATTCAGGACAGAGACCACCTCACCTGGGTTAGATAAAAACGAGATGTAGAGCTGGGTGTCATCAGCATACAGATGACACCTCAGCCCCCACCTCCGAATGACCCGTCCAAGCAGATTCATGTAGATATTGAACAGCATGGGGGACAGTATAGAGCCCTGAGGAACACCACAGCACAAATTGCCATGGGGCAGAGCAACTGCCCTTCAACACCACCTTCTGAACACTGTTGGCCAGGTAGGGATGGAACCACCACAATGCAGCACTCCCACATCCCAACCCAGCCAACCTGTCCAGAAGGACACAATGGTCAATGGTGTCAAAAGCCTCTGAGATGTCTAGGAGAAGCAACAGGGCTGTACTCTCCAGTCCCTCTCCCAGCAAAAGTCATCCCACAGGGCAACCAAGGTAGTCTCCATCCCAACTCCTGGCCTAAAGTCCAATTGAAATGGATCTAGATAATCTGTTTCACCTATTCTCTATCTAAATCTACTGCAAAAATATTTTTAAATCTACCTCAAAAAATTGAGTCTGGATTTCACCATAAAGCATTTTATTTATTAGATTTATATCCAGACTTTTTCTTATGAACTCAGTGCAACTTACTCCATTCTCCTGCTGCTCTCAGTCGTACCCCACAACAACCAGCCAGTGATGTAGGTTGTGCTGAGAGTCTGTGACTGGCCCAAAGCTGGCTCCATAGCTGAGTGGGAACTAGATTCCAGGTTGCCTGAGTTCCTAGTCCCACACTCTTAACCACTATACCACACTTGCTCTCTAAATAAAGTATATTTAGCAAGTGGAAATTGATCAGAATTTAATTGACGCTAAATAACAGCCATAAAATTGGGAAGACTTACAAATTTTAATATGTTGAGAACCTAATACCATCCATTTTGGAAAGAGGATCCAGACAAAAAAATCAGAACTGACCAAGTTGGATGCTGGTATGCTGATGTGGTAGGAATAGCTCCTCTGTACACCTGTGAAGTGTTTTCATGTCAAAAAATCACCAAAGGTTTAAACCCATTCACTATAGATTTGGGAAGTGGTCTTCATGCAATAACTTATTTGATAAGAATATGTTTTGCAAGTTTAAATAACTTTGTTGCATCTCTATTTTATTTATTTTAATAAAACTGTGTGTTTAGTAAACCTTTCGTTTAACTAATGCACAAATAAAGCAGATGTCAGACTGCTTAGTAGTCATTCCAGCTGTTTAAGACAGGATTTCACACCACAAAAAATTGCAAAGGATTTTTCTAAACTCCAACATCAGTAGTATTTTTAGAACAAAAGAGAAATACTTCATAAATACATATCAGATGGTACAATTCCTTTTTGGACTGAAAATGGCCAGATGCTCTTGGCAAGATCATAGAAAACACTTGCCAAATAAATAAGCTGCTTTCAGTTTTGTACATTTGACTATGTTACCATTATAATAAGTAATATTTGAATTTTACAGAAAAGCTTTTTTAGTATTATGCATTTTTCAGATTTATGATCTGTTTAACAATTCAGTTTGCATCCTTACTTTTAAGGAAATCACATTGTGTGTAATGGACCAAAGAATCCACATAAGATTGCTCTGCAAAGGTCTTAACATGGCAGAGAGACATTTCCTGGTCAAGCTATTTTCTGCCTTCAGGCATTTGGAGAGGCTTCACAGCATGTGAAATACAAAACAGAAAAGCAAAAAGCAAACAAAAAAGCTTGCCATCTATAAACTAAAATCTAGCAGTCCAAAATATAAGGTAAAAATCTGAATTATTAACAGCAGAAGTGAGAGCCTCTGACTTGCAGTGTTAAAGTTTAGGATTCTAGACAGCCGTTGGCTTGAATCCAGTATTAGTGTACTTAAAATAGACCTGCTGCCATTAATGGGATTGATGTTAATATTAGCTAAGGCCCATTCATTTCTGTGGGTTTGCTCTAAGCAGGATTAACACTGGACCTTTGGTTTTTTCCAGGATACACTACCTCACCAAAACTCAGTGTTCTGTGCCCCTTCAACATGAATAGTTGGCCTTCCACAATTACATGGTTTAGGGGTGCAGGATCCCTGTGAAAGTGAAAAACCACAAATACCTCTAGGGCCCCTCACCCACTAAACTCACCAGTGTCTCCACTTTGCAGCACGTAAATGCCAGGGAGATTTTCCTCTCTATGAGTGGGGCAGGAAGGCATGTTTTGGAGGCTTCCTTTTCTACCGTTTTGCTTCCTCTCTCTATGGTGATGATTTGGAGGCCTTACTTCTCTCCTGCTTCCTCTGTGGTGATGACAGTTTCCTGCAATAGACCTTTAACTCAGTTTTTAAATTAATTTTTAATTAATAGGCTTTATGGCAGTTTGTAAATACAAGTTGTTCTTACTTGGGCATTCATAACTGGGATTGTTTATATATAAAAAGTTTAAGACTTTTGTCTTCAAGTGTGACATTACTTAACTGCTGTGATATCAATTTAATGTTGATGCCTATTTTGGGTTGAAACTAGAAAGTCTGCAAATGTGTCTTAATTTTCCCCCAGTTGCCAACTATGAAGAATCCTTTGTAGCTACAGATCTGTGCTCAAATTCACCCTGGTGCTGCTAAATTATAACACAACCTGGCAATACCTCAGCCTCCTTCCCTTCCACTGTGAAGAATGCCACTTACGGGGCCAAAATCAGTCACCTAAGCTCTTTGCAGATGAGGAGGGCTGAAATTTCAGTTTTCATTTAAAACCAGTTTCATTTAAAACTAGCCTCTTTTCTTACAGCAGAATAGCATAGAGCAAGTCAGAAGGAGCCTTCCAGGCCATCTAGTCTGACCCCTGGCTCCAGCAAACATTATCTTACACAATTATCCATCCAGGGAGAGAAGAGGAGAGGCTGTGAGATTGCATCTGTCCTGGACCACTTGATCTCTTATGGAATGGTCCTCAAACTTTTTCAACAGGGGGCCAGTTGAAAGGTGCCAGTGGAGGGTGTGAGCGACCAAGGCGGTGCTGGCGGGAAGCGCCAGCCGGCGAGGGGGTAGGGGTGGGGGGGTGCACGGGATGAGGCAGGGGCTTGCTTGCGCAGAGATCATTTTCTCTGGGCGAGTTCAAAACAATATCCGTGTGAGCAAGCTGCTGCCTTGTCGCACGCCCACACCCATGTGCAGCGAGTCCAAAACCTCTGAGGTGGGCTGGATCCTGCTTGCTGGCCGTAGTTTGAGGACCCATGCCTTATGGATTGAGTTCATTCTCGTTATCACTTATCAATAACTTTCTCTCCCTCATTTCCTTTTTGTATCTTTCCCCCCTTAATGGTGGTAGCAGCAGCAAATAAGAGCAGTAGGTTCAAAATCTGAATGAAATGTATATTATTTTTGGATTGCCTGCATTTGCTATGGGGCATTTGCTGGAGTAGAATAGGCCATAAAAGAATGAGGCTAAGAATTTAAGAACCCACCCCAGTACCCTTCACCTTAGGATATACTTTTGTAATTAATTTCAGCCCACCTTGCTGTTATATGCCTTTGTAATGGAACAAGAAACTTTGAGCATGCTTAGTATGTGTTTCACTTACCAACAGCACCAACCAGCCCCCCCCCCCCCTTTTTGGCGCTCCCTATTAGGAATAACCACGGAAGAGGACAAAATGTTCTGACAAAATATTCAGGCAAGCTTAAAGGGCAAAATCTCTCCAAAAAAAGAAAAGAAAAATTACTGCATTCAGTTTCTAAGGGGGCATAATACCCAAACACTCTTAAGTCCTGCTACCACCCTCTACAGAGCAAGAAGGTCAAAAGGACCTAAATATCTTAGCCAAGGATAATCCTTGTTCTCATTGCCAAGAGTGGAAGCAGGCTGCAAGAATATCCATGGCCAAATGGAGAGAGCCATTTCCTCACTATGCAGTAACCACATAGACACATATGCACACCTGCCTGTCTGGCATTGGGAAGATCTCTGAGCTGCAGGCAAGCTGGAACCCTAACAGTTCCTAATTTGGAAAGTAAAGCACTGGTAGCCAGTCATCACCACCATCACCACTCTTCAGCCCTGATTTTTCCAAATGCCCACACATTGCCTCAGGCTTATTATGTGCCTTCCAACTGCTCTTGAGAGAATGATGTAAATAAATGAAGAACTCATTGATTGGTTCAGGCAACACAATAACTCACACTCAGAAACTGAGTATGGGTAGAGTGTGCATTACTTAAAGAACCCCTGAAGAGAACCCATGTTTAGTTGGGTTGTGAATTATGGTGAATAAACTATGGTTTGCTAGCAAAACTGAGTTCAGAAAAGACAATGACCCACATTTCCAGAGCAACTCATTCAGTGACAATCCACACTCAACCATCTTGATCACTTGAGTGTGGCTTGTTTTCTCAACTTAGTTTGGCTAAATGCAGATCACTTCTTTGTGTTTACTAGGTAAACATAGTTTACCTAGTACAAATTTGTTACAAATTTATTATATTTGTTCCCAAATCCCACCAACATATTGTCTTAAATGCGTACCTTTGGGATCATACCTGTACAAACACTTTTAAAACTTTTAAAAATAATTTATCAGTTAAGGTTTCACTAGAAAAATAAGAGATCCAGATGCTACAGAAAACATGCGATCTTTTATACCATTTTACTGTATGCATTATTTTGACTAATGGAATTGGTCTTCTGGAACTTGATGTTTCATATATTCATGTTGTCATTTCTTTCTTCTTAGATTGTTTTGCAAAGCCATAGCACAAGAGTGACAACTAAGTCACAGGCAAGTGGAGATAAGGCTTTTCGGTGTGACTATGATGGCTGTGGAAAACTGTATACCACTGCTCATCATCTCAAGGTAATTCATGAAAGAGTATCCAAGTCTTCTACTTCTTTGCAATAACATATTGGTCAGAAAGATTTATGTGACTGGACAGATGGCAATGTTAATGTGTGCATTTTATACAAGGATTCTTACACCTCTGGCATATTAAGGAGACCAATTCTTCAATTTCTAATTGTTCTTGGCACTGATGACAAAGTGTAGGAACAGGAGAAACATTGGTCATCATCATTATTATTATTATTATTATTATTATTAGAACATTTCTATGCCGCCCCTTGCCGAAGCCTCGGGGCGCTTACAACACAATAAAATACAATACAATACAAAAATAACAATATAAAATTAAAATTAATAATATAAAATAAATGAAAAAAATATAAACGATATAAAAGAAGTTATAAAAGAAAAGTTATAAAAGAAAAGAAAAGATACATTAATATCTGTATTCCTGACTGAGACTCATGTCAGTTCCCATATGCCTAACTGTTACTGAAGCTGAACCCATAGTTCGAAAGGAAAAATGTTAAATATTTTCAGAGTCTGTCAACAAAACATTTTTCTCCATTGACTGTTAATTTACACACCTTATTGGACATTAGGCCTAATGTGAACATTTCAGTATAACAATCTCTTGAAAATGAAGAAACAAAGACATGCCTCAATAGTGTCTTTACTGAATAGTCTGATCAATTATTAATTTGTTCTAGCTCTTCAGAGGAAGACATTTTCTTGCTTTATGGGCTTGTTTCAGCTACCAGGATGCTAGAAGTACTATATTCATATTTATCTTCTTATCTATATTTCTTCATAAATAGTTGGCATCTTTCAACAGGTACATGAAAGGTCTCACACAGGAGATCGACCATATCAGTGTGACCATCCAGGATGTGGGAAAGCATTTGCAACAGGTAAAGCCATAGGATTCCTTAGTGTATCATTTTGGTGAAAATTTGTAAATGGCTTTCTTATTGCCGAATTTTACTCAAAAAAAATTATATATGTGAGAGAGAGAGACCTTCCTTTAAAAAAATATGTTAATAGTTAATATCACTCAACCTTCTGATTTGTATTTTATCCATATTTTATTAATATTGTATTTTTAATGTGTTGTACAGTGGTACCTTGGTTTACGAACTTAATTCATTCCACAATTCTGATTGCAACCCAAATTGGTCGCAAACCAAGTCAAATTCTCCCATAAGGTTCAATGTAAATAAGGTTAATCCGTTGTGACGCCTACGAACGTGGTCGCGAACTGATTTTGGTCGCGAACCAAGTCAAATTTGCCCATAAGGTTCAATGTAAGGTTAATCCTTCTGTAAATATTTTTTTATCACAAAAATTTGAAACAAAGTAACAAAGAACAACAAAGTACAGTACAGTAGAGAACACTAACCTAGGTGGAGGGGAGGTTATTGTTTGGAGGGAAAGTCCCCCTCCATAAGGACTTTGGGGAGATCTCCTTCAGGGGTTTTCTCTCTTCTTTGTCTCTTAGCTTCAGGGTCAATTTTGGCAAAAAATCTGCACGTTCTGGTCACCTTCATTACCTCCCTGCACGTTCTTTTTACCACCATGCTTGCTCTGCACTTTTTTGAAGCAATTATTCATTATTATTGAATAATACTTTACAGTACTATAAGTGCTAAAAAGCACAAAAAAAGCTTCACAGCAAGTGACCACAGGTCTGTCTGCGAGCAGGAAAGATGGGCGCAATCGCGATCATGTTTGTGCGGGAACATGGCCGCGATCGTGGTCGTCACCTGATGCAGAGTTTGCGAACGGAGGCAAATCTTTTCCAAAATTTTTGGTCATGAACCGATTTGGTTGTGAACTGAGGCATTCGTGAACTGAGGTGCCAGTGTAATTAGTTTTTTTAAACTGTGTTTTATCTTTTGACTGTGAGCTGCCCAGAGGTGCTGTGCCACAATTGGGTGGCATACAAATGTTTTAAATAAATAAATAAATAAATAAAATTTAGGAAGAAAAGACCCTTGTTTTGGCTTTTAGATATATTTTGTGTTTGTGCTTAAGTAGTGATTTGAGTCATGGAACTATATTAAGCAAGGAAGGATGATGATATGATCAAAATTAAAAGCCTTCAAACAGGAACAGAACAGAAAAATAGTTCATGAGCCTTTCCAGCTATAAATCCATTAAACCTAGTCAGCAGTATGGTAAATTATACTTGGGACCACCTTGAGCCTTCAGATCATTTGGCCTCTTACTAGTAAAAGATTGCCATTTTTGAAGTCTCAAGACTAGTACTGAATGAGAGGATAGAAAATCCTTAGAAAAAGCACTGTTATTTCTCTAGAGCAATGGTTTAACTCTTTTTACCATGACCTTTTTTTGTTCCCCTTCTATCCTGCTTTTTTGAGTCTTTAAACCAGGGATGAGGAACCTCTGGCCCCTAGACTGGATATGAACCACAGGACAACCCTATCTGGCTGATCAGCTTCTCTCCCAGGTTCCACCCTACCTCCTCCCAAACCTAAATCTCTTATCCAATCCAGCAGGTCACTGGAGATGAGATATTTATCTGCTCCCGCCCTGCCCCACCCACTGCACTTTGGCTTTTAAAAGCTTTCATTGATTCCAGCCTTAATTGTAGTACAGTGAGAAATTGCTACTGAGGAGGGAGGGGCTAGTTCCCACCTTTAAAATGCTGTGACCTCCCCTTGAAAAACCTAGTTAGGTTGCTGTTAGGCTTTTTAAATGCTTCCATTGGTACCAATGAAGCAGGGAAGGGGATTTTTGGCAGGGGGAACTGTGCGGTGTGTGAGTGAGTGATAGAGGATGAGAATACATATGAGTGTGAGAATGGACTCTGGGCAATCACACTGATGGCTGCATAATAGCAATGGAGTGTCCTGGAGAACAAGCTTGCCTGAAGCCAGTTTCTGTCTGAGGCAAAAATAGATTTCTTGCTTCTGCCTTAAACCATGGTTTTTCCATCCATCTGCTTGCCAAATATCAGCTAAAAGAATAGTCAGAAGAAACACAATATAAGGGCTGTTTTGCACATGATATTTTATTCAACATTCATAGCCCTCTTCAGGTGTTTGGTAACAGACTTGTCTCTGAAAATGTGTTGACTAACCCAATTTCCTAGATGCTAGCATATTAACTGACCATGGCCGTTGATGGTAGCCTGAAAGGCAATCACACATGTATACATCCTTCCACAGGGATAAGAGACACCCTTCAGACTGATTGCTCTGTGCATTGGCCATAATGTCATGGTCAACATTCACACAGTCTACAGTGCAGGTATAACCAGTGTAGTGTTAGAATCCCCTTAACAAGTTCGTTACATAAACAACAAACTACTGAAGAGGGTTTACCGTTGAGAGAGTAAGGATATATTAAACAATATATACATGGTTTAAAGAAGGAGTTTAAATTAAGCCCAGCATAGTCCTCAAGGCTAGAAAAGTTATGTGCTATAGTGTAAATATTTGTGTGTGAAGTTTACATAAATGTATGTTTTAAGGAATGTACACACTTTGCATGTGATAGATACACATTTTTTCTTACATATAGATGTACATTCAAGTAAACAAAACATGTATGAAGTAGCTGTGCTGCCCCAAAACCTGGCTGATCTATAACCCCTTAGAGAGAAGGCAGGATATAAATCTTCTGTAATGATAGAAGATGAAGTTTGTCTATCAGCTAATGCTTAATACCAAGGCAAAGAAACCTAAACACCTGAAACGCATATTACGCATATTAAAGTGTCCTTGGAGTATGCATCATGGTGTTACCTATTTAAAAAAATGTATTAATCTAATTGAATTAAATTTTATTGAATTTAAACATGCCTATGTGCTTGGGATCTCTAGTACCTAAACAGCACATAGCTTTGTCATTATCACATTTTACAGCCAGGGGAGATTTGTAGGCTGAAGGACAGTTATACAGCTGCTTCTACTGCTGTTGTGGGGCAGCGTGCCTCCTCTGGGGAATGGAGTAGACAGAATCTTTCCTCCAGAATCTGTGGGAGTATACCGAGACAGGAGCCTTGGCTATGGGTGCTGGTGGACATACTGAATTTGTACAGACTGACACAATATGTCCTACTCAAACATTGGTGAAACTTTGTTGGAAGGCTTTGTTATGTTAAATGAAGAATTGTACTAACCTGTGCAATGCTGAGTTCATTTGCTAGCATAATACATAAGAAAAGGAAGGTAGTGACTATCTAAAATAAACTTGTATTTTCAGACACTTCTACCAAACTCAAGAAAATAATAATAATAATAATAATTATTATTATTATTATAACATTTCTATGCCGCCCCTTGCCGAAACCTCGGGGCGGCTTACAACATGATAAAATACATTGAAATACAATAGTACATAATAAATTACCATTAAATATAAAAATACAAAAAATACATTGATTTACAAATACAAAATTAAAATTATCAGTATAAAATAAAAATATAGGAGGAGAAAGAGAAGGAAGAAGAAGTTGCCCAGGCCAGATCATATGTTTTAACAATTGAAATGATGTTTAAATAAAAAGGTCTTTACCTGGCGCCGAAAAACCAGTAACGACGGTGCCAGGCAGACCTCTTTGGGGAGTGAATTCCATAGGTTGGGCGCCACCGCAGAGAAAGCCCTCCTCCGGGTACTTACTCTTCTAATTTCTTTCATGGAGGGTTCCCGGAGAAGGGACTCTCCCGCAGATCTCAAAGGGCGGTCGGGCATATACGGACGTAAGCGCTCGTTCAGGTAGCCAGGACCCAAGCCGTTTAGGGCTTTGTAGGTCATTATAATTATTGCCAGTATTTCCCTGTTTGATAAGACAAGAAGAAAGGAAAAGGACAATTTGTACATTGCAAACACAAGTCTTTGAGTTTGCTGCTGTGGGAGAAACACAGAAAATATTGAGATTCATAGAAAATTAAATACAGATAAAATAAAGAATGTTTACATTTTGTGACAGGTTGTTTATAAATGTTCATATACTGCTGAACTTAAATACTGTGTCCATCCAATCTTTTACAAGGTTATGGGCTAAAAAGCCATGTCCGAACCCACACTGGAGAGAAGCCATATCGGTGTTCAGAAGAGAACTGCACAAAGTCCTTCAAGACTTCAGGGGACCTACAGAAACACATCAGAACGCACACGGGTACATGGCATATTAGTGCAGTTACTGGCTATGAATCTGTATATTGTAGTAATCATTTGTACAGAATAATGATTTTTAATGAGATCTTTGTGGTCACAGCTTGACTTGATCATCATTACATGGTAAGCATGCTCTCCCTTAAGGTCCTACATGTTCTGTCAATCTGTTTCAAAGCTGTAGGCTGTAATCCTTAACTGGGACAAATTCCATTAAATTTATGTAGCTTGTGTTTGAGCAGACACGTATAGGGATGCACTGTCTTCTCTTCATGTAATAACATATTGAAAGTGCAAATTCTAAGTATGTCACTAACACCTTAACTATTTTTCATAAAGTTTTAAGCAAAAATACTATTATTTCTTTTAGTGCTAACAATAAAATTTCATAAAATACAAAAAACCCAATTCAGAGTCAAACAGCAGAACAGAAAGCAGCAAAATACTAAAATAAAATAACAGTCACAAAGTAATACAATTCAGTATCATTAATAACCATAATTATCACTCTTTATTAGAAACACAGAGAAAATAAGTTTAAGCAGGTACTTAAAACTTGGTACCAGACACTTTTCTCTGGGAGAGGGAACTTCAGTTGGAGATCACCCAGAGTAGGGTCCTATTTCATTTGCCACCTTCATTATCACTGAGTTTTAACCAATGGTTTGGAATTAGTTAAAATTGTGGGTTGTTTCTTCCTCAACAATCTAAAGTGCTAGGCTTGGACGTCACAGAGCTTAACGCAGGAAGGTGGCATCCCTCTGCTATTTACTAAATCTGAACAAAAGCAGAAACTGGAAGGAGACATTAGTTAGCATGCATGCTTGCTCACTCCTGTGCAGCACTCATTAAGCATGATTTAAACAACACACAGTTACTATGTGCAAACAAGGCTATTATTCCTTATCACTCTGTTCTCCACAAGAAAGGTTTTGTCTTTTAATATCCCATCCTTTTCCCTGTCATGTTTGGTCAGTGGTGCATGTGCTCACCCCTTTCCCTCATATTCTCATCTCTTTCTGTACACCCACCAAGAAGTTACCACCTCTTTTTCTGTTTTGCAGCCTAAAAGTTTCTTTACCCCATTTTATCCCCTTTTTTTCTGTCCATTTCCGCAAGTTTTGTGCACCCAAGCTTCCAGTTTCTCTCCTTTTCTTCATTCAGTTTTCTTCATGCACTCCCGACCTTCTCTGTTTTTCCATGATATTTCTACTCCACCATGCAGAGTTTGGCAGCAGCTTTATACATGGCTTTCAACCATTAGTTCATCCACTGAGTGAATCTCAAACAAAGGTGGGCAGTGTGGAATAGCTAGCTGGATACAGCAGACTCAAAATTACTGACAGAAATTCACCTCTCTATCCATTAGTGGAGGAACAATGCAGATATAGTGATATGGGATGTTGTCATTTGTACTCTCATGGATTTTTTTTAGCTTTTCACAAATGCTGAGTCATTACCTTTAAAAAAGTAACGCTTTTACCTTAGGAAGTTTCTTTACGCTGAACCAGTACTAGACCGTTGGTTCATGTGGCCCAGTATTGTGCCCACTGACTAGCAGTAGTTCTCCAGGGCTTGAGGCAGTTTTTCCAGCCCTACCTAGAGGTATGCCAAGGGTTGACCATTCATACATGTGGCAGCAGTTGTACATTCATTACAAACAGACATCATTTCCATTTTTCTACTCAGTATAAATGTATAACACAGCTATGTGCAATCATGATTATTGTGTTCATGTGTTATATGTTTAAGATGTACCAATCGAATGTTTTATATATACTGTAAAACATATTGTAAACTGTCCCTTATTCTTGTATCTCAAAACTTCATAATTTGATAATACTGATAGAAAAATCATGTATACTTATGCTCACTCCTTTCGAGAGGGAAGGAGGCCAGCTAGTCTGAGAAGGGCCTTGCTTCTAAAGCTGGGAAGCTGTCTCCTATATCTGATTTCTGGAGAATGAGGCCTCCTCCCTCCCCTAGTCCAGCTCCAGTTAAATTGTCAGGTGCTATTGGAATGGGAACGTTTTGCCATCTGTTGCTTTTTGCTTACAACCTAATTTCCTAGCTCTCTTTATTTTAGATTGGCTTCTTTCATTCTTAGAGCCCCTTAGTGAAAACAGGTGGGGAGGGTGTTTTAATCAGGAAGCAACAGAAAGTGTATAGATTTCTGTATTCTTCCCCAGATACACCCTGCTTTTTTGATGTTTTGCTTTGAGTCTCCTACACAAACACATACACTTTATTTTAAGACTGGAAGACCTGTGGCCTTCTAGATATTTAAGTCCATCAACATCTGAAAGGCCTCAGGTTCCCTACCCCTGATTTGTATAAATTTAGCTTATAATGAAGTGTCCTGATTTAAAAATTATAGTGGAATATTCTTAGAAGCTCGGGAAGAGATTCTCATAATGAAAAAGCCAAGTATGCTTCCGTCTGAATTTGTTTTCCTCTAGCTATGCCAGTTCCTGATTTCCAAAGGAATCATATCCTAGCTATTTGCTCTTTGAAAAAAAAACTTGACTATCAAGGGCAAGATTTACAAACAGGTTCTGTGACATTCCTTACATTTAAACCAAACACTAACTTTAAGGAAAGGCAGTTGCTATGTGGATTAAATGCAGTTCAATTGTTTCTGCCTGTAATATGATACATAGCAATAAGGGTTATGGAAACTATGACAACAGAACACTACAGTACATACGCTTAAGGAACCATGCATCTTTTTGGCAGAAAACTGACAAACTTTACTAAGGAATGATTTGCAGTCTCCTCTATTGCTATTTTGGGTGTTACTTCCAAATCATGAGAAGTAGTAGTTCCCCTATACTCCTCACTAGTCAGACCCCATGTGGAATATTGTATCCAGTTCTAAGAACTAAGATTTATGAAAGAAAAATTAGAAAGGGTCCAAAGGAGGGCAACAAAAATGATCCAGGGATTGGAAACACTGCCCTACAAGGAGAGACTGAGAGAACTGGACATGTTCAGCCTTGAGAAGAAAAGACTGAGCAGGGACATGATATCCCCTTATAAGTACCTCAAAGGCTGTCACATGGAGGAAGGAATAATCTTCTTGCGCATCCCAGAGTGTAGGACAAGGAATAATCAAGTTGTGACAACCCAGGTTCAGGCTAGATACCAGGGAAAGTTTCCTTGCTGTCAGAAAAATACTAAGTGGAACCAGCTGCCTAAAGAGCTTGTGGGCTCTCCCACATTAGAGGCATCAAAAATAATTTAAAAATAACCTAGACAGTCATCTGAGTGGGATGGTGTAAATTGGTGACTTGCAACAACAGGAAGTTGGAGCTGATGGCACTCTTGGCCCCTTCCAACTCTACTATTCTGATTCCACTAAGAAGCTGCCTTTCTGAGCCATTTTTTTAAGGTTTTTAATATACAGTTTTGTCTAATAGTAGTGGGGTGTTCAATAAATATCTCAGTTATACATTGCATCGTTAAAAATCCTGTTTTCACCCATCCCTCTTAGGCTTCTCTCTGTGGCATGACAGTATACAGACTCAACAGTTCTTAGCAAAAGCATATGAGAAACATTCATGAGGGTACACCATCAATAATAACATTCATTATAGGGTTTTTAACGTTCATCAGTATAGCCAGATTTAAGATAGTTGAGTATAATTTAAATAGGGAACAAATGCATTTTCTCAGAATCTCTGCATGGGTAGATTTAATATGAGAAATTTGAGTTTGCATAGTGTGCTATTTATAAAGCGTAATTAAGCTTTATTAATAATTGCCATGGCCACAATCCAGAAAACCATACAGTGAGCAAAATATAAGTTTTCTTTCTTAAGCATACTTCCATGACAAATCATGTTGACATTTTAGAGATACTTAAATGTGATGAACGAAATGGTCTGCTGATTGAGGAAAGAAGAGTATTGCACAAACCCATGCTCTTACCAAATTAGCTCTCTGGATTGTAGTCTGTATTTAAAGCATCTGATTCTCAGTTTAAGAAGTAAACAAATAATAGGAGTGCCATCATCTTAAAAAATGTTGTGTACATTACGCAACACATAGACAATGTTCGTTCCTGAAATCTCCTCCCTGCCCACATTTTTAAAACAATTAGCTCTTTCTTGAGTTGTTTCTTTAGTTGTTTCTGTGAATTAAGTCTTATGCATAAGCAATCTGAACAATTAAGAAATTGAATAACTTATAAATATCTCTGCTCAGTAATTTCTAATGGCTGTTGCTTACTTGCGCGCACGCACGCGCGCGCTCTCTCTCTCTGTGGGGCATTTTGGCAACAGAGCAGGGGGAAGGTGGAACAGACATGCTGAAAAACAGCACGTACATAAAGTTTACTATTACTTCCACTGTTCGTGGTTCAGAACCTTCAAGCCACATTTAAGCTTTCCCAAGTCAAAGTAGGGTTGTTTTAAGAGCAGACAGGGTATTCATGAAAGTGTATTGCTGAAGCATATATTGATATAAAAAAGCTTGTGTACCAGTAGTGGATCACAGCTGTTATCTTCAGCTGAAGTAAATATATATGTAGGATCACATTATAAGTATGTTGAGTCAGAATCGGTCTCACTGAATTAAAGGAAATTTACTTCCTAGTGTTTAGCATTGTACCCTGCCCTGTAACTTAAATCCAGCATCATGTTAGGTAGGTGCTAGCATGACAGGAATTTCTTCCTTTTTTCCCTCCCCCTGCAACCTTCATCATTGCCTGAAAATGTATTCCAGAGGATTTTGGTCTGGAGCAGATTTTGAGGGTGCATGGGGGTTATTACCAGAGAGGGGAATAGCCCCTCAAGTTTCACTGATGAAGTTGCTTTTGTCAGCTGAACAGTACCAGTGGATATAATTCTGAGAACCAAAATTTACATTTTATTGCATTATGTGAGTCCTCAAATGCTTTAAAAATGTGTACTAATTTCCCTGTCTTTATTTTTGGTTTTCTAGGTGAAAGACCTTTTAAATGCCCCTTTGAGGGGTGTGGTAGGTCATTTACAACTTCCAACATCAGAAAGGTTCATATCAGGACACATACAGGAGAAAGACCCTATTATTGTACAGAGCCAGGATGTGGGAGAGCATTTGCCAGTGCAACTAATTACAAGAATCATGTGAGAATACATACAGGTATTTGCATTGTGCTTCACAGTAATTTATTTATCATTGTCTGTTGTAGTCCCTCTTCCTTCATTGCATTTGAGAAGAAATTAAAATCTTTATGTGGAAATGGGAAATGCTTTTAATAAGAATGTACTCTCATGTCCTTTATTTGTGTTGGAGCCAAAGAACTATTATGAATATTGCTAAATTAAGATGAAATATAAAATATAAATCTTAAATACTTGAACTTTTACTTTACAGGTTTAAAATAGAGGTTCTCAAACGATAGTCATAAAGAGTCTGGAAAACAACTGGGACTGACTGTATTGGCTCTGTACTTGGTTGTTTTCCCCCCTGAAAGTGGAAATTAAGGCTGTTGGATAATCATATCAGCTAATAAGAACTTTGTCTAGGGCCATGTCAGTGCTGAAAAAAATGTATTAAAATGTTAGTCATATGCTTTGTAGATTTGTAGAACAACAATAAAAAGGCTTATTAAGTGGTATTCCAAGAATCCCAGCAATTTCTAGGTGGTCAGCAGGGGAAAAAAATGTTGAGAACTGTGGATCTGGAATGACTTTGTAGTCATAGTCTATCCTTGTTTAAGTTTGTTCTTGTTTTTGTTTTTTGCTACAACTAATAAGACCCACATATAGCCAAATGACATATTGACTTAAGCAAACAATTTTATAAGCATTTCATACTGGACATTTTCTGTTTTGAGAAAATGCAGCCACTTGCAGCTCTGATAAAAACTGAGGATCATGGAATAGAGAAAGGAGGATTTAACCCTTTCTTCCGCATGCTAGTTTCCTGCAGAAAATCTCTCCTACAAAATTCTCAAAAATGTTTCCTGCAAACTAAACCACTGCTTTCCTTTCCAAGGTGCCACAGTTGCAGTCAAGCTCAGGGCCTCCCCATTACTGCTTTTCTTTTAGTAAAGAAAGAAAATGGCCAACACTTTTTAAAAGATAATATGTAGTTTTCACTATATCAGAGTGTTATGATGAGCCCATAATTCTTCATCTGAATTCGACCTGTCAGTCACATTTTTTCTTACTTGCTTTGAATTCAGGAATTTGTATATTTCTCAGATTTCAGGGATGTGAAGTGGGGATTTTGGAGCCAGGTCAGGTATTTTGTGTTCTATTTTGTTAGAGGAAGAAAAGATTTTTAACTTGTGCATACATCCCATATAGTATAGAATGAGTCTTTAAAAGTGTGACCAGCTGATGTTATAGAAATAAAATACATTGCCATTTGAGGTTGTAACCAAACTCTGATGACAACTGCTTGGCTCTCATAGTGAGGCAGAGCCATTACAAAGCTGCGTTTGGCTAACTAATCTGAAGGTTGCTGATTGCTATTGCTTAGGAAAAGATTAGAGGAAGCCAAGATCTGGAAAAGAAAGCTTGGAAGAGAGGAGCTGGTCTAGGGGAAACTGGAGGGCAGAAGAATAAATCTGTAGGAGCATTTCCTTCTGTGTGCAGCTGCGCGCCCCCTCAAGTCTTTGTCTGAGGTCCTTCTTTGGGAGCCCTCTTTGAAGGTGATCAGAAGAGTGGCTACCCAGAGAAGGACCTTTTCTGCGGTAGTGCCACAGCTCTGGAACTTGCTCTTCAGAGATGTGTCCCTGGCCGACACTTTATTCATTTTTGTGCCAGGCCAAAACCTTTATTTTCCCTGTATTTTAAGGATTAAGTGTGGTTTTAATATTGGTTGCATTAGATGCTTATATCTAAAAGTATCCAGTGAAACCAATATTAAATACTTATAGATACTTATATTCTATTTTTGTGTGCTGCCACCATACTCTATTGTATCACCGTCCTGACTTTTGTATAGGATGGGATAGAAATGTCCCCAATCAATCAATCCATCAATTTGCAAGGAGAAATAAAACTGGAAAAAAGAGGGAAGGTGCCAAAGAGGTATTAGGCTGAATTAGTCATACTGAACTGCTAGTTCTTTGGTTGTAGGCTTTGGTACATTTGGATCAAGTACTTACAGAAAGGTAGACCAATGAAATCCATGAGACTTTAGGGTAGTATCCAGCAGGTTGCTTACACTCCAACCTATGCACTGCGAAAAAGGATTAAATCTGCCCTTTCCTCTGCCTTGCAGATTCTCTTCTGCAAGCAGGAGAAACTTAAGCAAGGGTGGTTTGACACTTCTGGCAACAGTGAATGAGTAAAAATGCTTGTTTATTTTATTTTTATTTACAAAGTTTTACCCCGTCCTATACAAACGTCCCAGGGCAGCTTACATTTCTGGAAGGAGGCAGGTCAGCAGAACTTTCCACCCAAAAATGGGTGCTTCCACTAATTTTGAGGTTTCCATTATATCACACTTGCATAAGCAGTATATCTTGTTTGTGTAACAAACAACAGAATATGCAAGATTCACTGCTTACAGAAGAGAACTGGCAGGGTTATTGTCGCTTTGGATACTGCCCTAAGTGAGAGTAACAACATATACAACCCATAAATAGTGATAATTTCCAAACCATTACCTGTACATAGCAGGCATTGTGCAAGGAATGTAGAAACTTTTTATTTTCCCTGTATTTTCTGTATAGTAGAGCATGCTTGGACTGCTTGGACTGCTTGCATTTTTAATACAAATCTCAGTGATAAGAAAAATTTCAAGTTGTGCAGAGCGAAGTAACTTTTACTCAAAAAAGGGTCTTACATATTTTATATTGTGTTGTGTAGCTCTGAATACAACAGACAAAAGTGGTATGTCTGTCTGTCTATACCACCTTGTAGCCAAAGCTCTCTTGGTGTTTTAAAGGGTGTTTTTAAAATTTCACTAAATTGAACTGCACTGTGGTTCAGAAATTTCCTATTCAGTGAGAGAGTCTCTGGATAATTCTGATAAAAGTATGTCAACACATTTCTATGTCAGTAGTGGGATAGCTGCCAGAATGGAATGTTCAGTTTTCCTCACTATTTGCATCTTTCTGTCTAGGGGAAAAGCCTTATGTATGTACAGTCCCTGGCTGTGATAAACGGTTTACAGAATATTCCAGTTTATATAAACACCATGTTGTACATACACATTCCAAACCTTACAACTGTAATCACTGTGGGAAAACATACAAACAGATTTCTACACTTGCAATGCACAAGCGGACAGCACACAATGACACAGAGCCAATAGAGGAGGAGCAGGAAGCATTTTTTGAACCACCTCCAGGTAATGTGATTATTCTCCATTCAGTTTTTCTCTTATACTAACAGATTAATCTGTTATAGCTTACAAATAATTCATTCCATGTTAACCTGAGAGCTAAAGTACTGGAACTAGGAATGTAAAAACTTTCTTTGTGCCTAGGCAGTGTCAGTGCTTTAGTGTTCTTCTACTTGCATATGGTAATCTGTTGTGAATGTTTCATGTGGGCAGTTCTTGCTCAGTGCAGGAATTGTATTTACATTATCTTGTTTCTTTTCAGTTATTCTGACTGTGTAGCCTTCCAGCAAGCTTCATTCAAAATGTCTGTATGTAGGCTATAAGCACTTTCCATCCACAGGAGCACCAATAAGATTATTTTATTTTAGCACCCTAGAGTAGACAGAGTGAAGTAGAACATCATAGAACAGAGAAGTTGAAAAGGAATTGAAAATGTAAAACCTTCACTATTTTTTATAGGTTAGGGGAGGCAAGAATGTAAGGGATTCCTGCTATCTCACATGAAAGATCCATCATGTCTAGTGCCCTCTTTCCCACAGTGGCTAACTGGAAACCCCAGGTATTCCTGGACGGCACAGAGGCAACAGTCTTCTCCTGCTTTGGAGGAATGTAGAGGCATCCTTCCTCTGAGTACCATACTTGGCTATTGTATTGTCAATCAATTTCATCATCTGACTTTGAGTTCTAGTATGGTAGGGGATGGGGATTTTTTCCCCATAATGTACACAATTTTATACATCTTCATTTAGAATTTAGGATTTCATCATAGAAAAGTTGTTCCCACTGAGTATCATTTTTCTTTGCTTTTTCTATGTTTATACTAGCTTATATCAACTTTTTTGGGTTTGGGATGGCTAGAATTATATGCAACATTCCAAGTGTAGCCACACCAAAGCATTGGCAGCTTTATTTTCACTCCCTTCCTTAATATTCCTGCTATGGAATAACTTTTTAACTGCCCTCTATACCAAGTTGATACCTTCATTGAACTATCAGCATCATATGGAAAGTCACTGCTAGTTCAGCTCCTATAAGTCACTATGTGAAGTTAGGATTTTTTGTTTTCCTTCACATTACTAGCACTGAAATTCATTTGTGGCTCATTTATCCATTTTTAGCGTATCCTGTTAGAGTTCTTCACAGTTGATTTTCTTCCCATGGGACTTTCCTGCTGGAAGAGGGTGGGTCATTTTTTGCTAATTCCCCTGAAGCTGATTAAAAGGCTGTTCTGCAGGATCATGGGAACAATATAGGAAATGGAGCTGGGGGCTACAAAGAAAGATGGTATAGAGTGAATCTCCTCCACCTTGTTTGGTTATTCACCACCCTGAATTTTCATTTGAAAATACATTTATTATATGTATACCCCAGCTTTCTTCCTTCATGGAACTCAAGACAGCTTACATAATCATCCTTCCAATTTTATCCTCACAGCATCTCTGTGAGGTAAGTTAACCTGAGAGTATGTGACTGGTTCATAGTCACCCAGTGACGTATGTGGCTGAGGACTAAAACCCAGATCTCCCACATGTCAGTCCAACATTTTAACTACCATACTACACTGGCCCTTTGGCTACTTCATTATACTTCTTTGACTATACATAACTTATTAGTAAATTAAATAGCATTGGGCAGTATTATGCAGTGTCACCCTGCTAACACAAATTCCAGGGAGTCCCATCATGTGAGCTAATGCTAGTAGCACTGCTAAAGATACTTCATGCTAGTACTAGATAATTTGAGTTAACAAAATGACAGTATAACAATCACTGGCTCCAGTAAATGTAGAAACAGAGCGAAGGGGCCTCCTGGGCCATCTAGTCTGACCCCAGGCTCCAATTGGTTCCACTCATGACATGACTACAATGTGCATGTCCAGCCTATCCTTGAACACCTTCACCGATGGGGCTTCAACTGCCTCCTGTGGAAGCCCAGGTCCTTGCTGTACCCTGCTGCTTATCACCATTTAAGAACTATTAATTCCCCTCCACTGCCAGTCACCATTGCTGGCTTTCTAGTTTTACAACTGGTTTTGTCTTTAAGGTTTGCTTTCAGGCTCATTGTATTTGGACAATGGGCTTTCTTGGCCTTGGCCCTGTATGGTATATGCTGAAGCCATTTAAAATAAACTCTTAAATTCTAATGGCTACTTTTAAAAAAAGGTCAGGATAAAAGATTACATTTGCTAGCATCGAAGAATTCTTTAGATACTACACTGTTTCATCACTTGTCACACAATGGGTGTACTTTCTTTTCTCCTTGAAAGAAAAGTGTGTTTGTTAATGATTAATTATTTGAATAAGCCATTGATGACAATTGTGCCCCAATACTGAAAGAAAAAGATTAATGTTTAACAAAAATAAAATAATTGCATTTTCTTTTAGATTATAACAAGTACAAACATGATGTGAATGCTAACATGCTTGTTTTATTTAATATGCACAACAAAAATTTTCCATGCATGATTCTTCATCTTACGCGCAACATAGGTTTTATATGAACTAACCCCAGTGTTTCCTTAATTAAATAGGTCAAGGTGAAGATGTTCTCAAAGGTTCCCAGATAACTTATGTAACAGGTGTAGAAGGAGATGATGTCGTTTCTGCACAGGTTGCTACAGTGACTCAGACAGGACTAGGTCAGCAAGTAGCACTCATTTCCCAAGATGGAACTCAGCATGTAAGTATTAAAAACATCCTAACCACCCCCCACCCCCCTCCAAAAATAGCTTTCACAATAGGAGGTCATGTTTCTGTTTGACTTCCCCACTGATTATACATACAAATTCATTTATAATTTATTTAGAATTCTTAAATAAAGGTTAATTAATATACATTGGTTCTAGTTTAAAGTGAAAGGCATGCATCTAATTCTGACCAAGAAAAATTCTAAGCAGTAATCTCTGACACTTACCTACAGAAAACTAAACTTCTGCAACAGTTATAAGTTGCAGACGGTTTTGTTGTCACTTACTTTTGCGCTTCAGTTAGATGGGGGGATCTTTTTCCTTCAACAAAAATTCCCCCCCCACCAAAATGCTGTTTTCTTTTTCATGTAACATTAGACAATGATTGAATGAGCAGGTGATTTCTTGTTTCAATTTTGGAATTCACTAACTAAAAAAAAAATAAAAAATTCAGGGCCATTTTCTGGGGCAAAGATGTAAGTTTATCAAACAATGTGATCTAGAGGGTTGGATACAATGCTGTCATTCCACTGATAAAAGGGAACTGAAGTGGCTTTGTTTCAGCTACCCTGCCTCCTCCAGTGACAGGGAGGCACAGCACCAAGCTAAGTACCAGGTAGGCAATTCTCTTGGTGACTTAATCTGTCTTGTGCTTCCCCCGCTCCCCAGGCTTGGGGTGGATGCCAAGAGAGTGAAGCCATGCCAGCACAGTTGGCATAGCTGGCACAGTTGGCATGCAGCAGGGAAGAGGACTGCTGAGGAAGGAATGCCTTCAGTCCACCTGGACTTTCCCTGGCTAAGAACGGGATAGTCTGAATGATGCCTCCCTGTACTAGGCCCTGATCTGAGGACTCTCCTGCATACCACACGCCTTCCCATACAAATTGTTAACATCAGGGATTCTTCTATTTTCACTTTGTAAATCCATTTGGGAGTGGCATGCAAGGGAATCCCTACTGTTTAATCACAGATTGGGAATAACAGTAGGGATTCTTTTTCCCACCTCCTCCTTAAACTCCCAACCAGGCTTGGGGAAATAAGGGCCACGAAGGGATGCAAAACCTCTGCAAACTGCATCAGATCCTTAGGCTGGAGGTTGTGTGCTCCCGTTCTTGCAGTTTTGTAACTTTATTGTAGTTATTTTTTCATGATCTTTATTTGTCTACGTGACCAAATTAGCATGTTGACTGAAAATGAAATCTTTATATGACCAAGGTCTATGACCTTAATTGTGTAAACTTAATGAAACAATTATTTTCTATTTCAGGTTAACATATCTCAGGCTGACATGCAGGCCATTGGAAATACTATCACTATGGTAACACAAGATGGCACCACAATCACAGTCCCTGCCCATGATGCAGTTATTTCTTCTGCAGGAACACATTCTGTTGCAATGGTCACAGCAGAGGGCACTGAAGGACAGCAGGTAAATTACTACTAAATAACAGAGCATGATCAGTGATGTGGAGCAGAATTTTTTTCCAATTCTTTTTCATGGAATGTTTTCCATTTCATAAGTTCACTGATAAAAATAAATATATGCCTATAAAAATAAACGATTTCGCTACTAACAACAGTTAGCCATTCCTACATTGTAATTAATGTTTTTCAGGTGATTATGTATAGCAGATATATTAAAGAATTCACACATGTCATTGAAATATATCTACATCTCAGTGTGAAACATAACCAATAGGTAATGAGACCAAAACTGATGGTACCCCAGCAACCTCAGTGGAACAGACCTTGAGCTCTGTTTCATGCACACTTCTTTGGACTGCTAAAATTTGTTTTTTAGTATGCCAACAGTTTTTAGGACCTTAGTTTTTAAACTTTAAACAATATAAGGGACATACATTTTATAAATATTCCAATAATTTTTACACAATAGAACATTTAAATTAGACTACATGTGCTTAAATGTTGTAATTAAAGCATTACAATATTTCCAGCAAAATATTTATGGTGCATCAAAACAAACAAACAGAAAACACAGAGTGGTTTTTTTACTATGTTTATTGAATAGACATTAACATAAACATTCTAACTGAATCTCCCTTGAGTAGGGAGGGGCAGCTTCTACCCCTCAGGATGGACCTATAGTTCCCATCAGCTCTAGCTTAGAATTAATTGCGTGCCCATGTTCTTTGGTTCCCATCCATCCTAATAACTAATCAATACTATTGGTTGTAGCTTAAAGTTATTGTGTTAGATTTTTAGGTCTTTAATCTTTGTAAACTATTCAGAGAGCTCTGACAGGTATAACAACAATGTAATGTAATAAATTTACTTAGATTCCTTTAGACGTTTGTCAGATTGGCACTCTGCTGGAGCAGATGAAGAGACTGAGATTGTTACTCTCATAGCCAGTTATGCTTTGTGTGCATTATTAGTTCTAGGGGCTTTACTCTTACGGCTACCTTAATGTTTTGGTAAACCTGATCAAAGAACAGGGATAAACTATGGAACATGAGAAAAAAACATGAAGAAATAAGCAGTAATGTTTAGATTCCAATAGACATTTTTATATATTTGTTTTTTATGAAGGTTGCCATTGTTGCTCAAGATTTAGCAGCATTCCATAGTGCTTCACCAGAAATTGGACATCAGCAACATGGACATCACTTAGTTACTTCAGAATCTAGACCTGTTACATTGCTGGCAACATCCAATGGAACACAAATTGCAGTACAGGTAATCAGGATGTGAAGTTGGCCTTCTCAAATTTTGCTTTTCGTTTTACATTCAACTCTAACTTTTGTCCTTAATTTTAAGAGTTTAAAGTTCTGCTTCTGCTTCGCATTATGCATGGTTAATCCCAGTACAGTCACACATATATTTGCTTAAATATATTAGGATATAGGCAATCCTTGAGTTATGAATGTCCAAGTTGCAAACAACCCATACTTACGAACAATCTGCCATAAAGCCCATTAATTAAAAATAATTACTGTCGGACTAAAGTTATTCATGGTTTTTCCACTTTCACAGGGGTCCTGCATTCCTAACCCCTGCAAATACGGAGGCCCAACTATATGTGCTCCAACTTATATACGCATTCAACTTAAAGACAAATTTCTCTTTTCTCAGGAACAGAACTCGTTCACAACCCAAGGACTGCCTATGTGTGTCATAGTCTGCTGTGCTGCACTTGTTGAGCAAACTCTATGGCCCATTCTAGTGCATTCAATTTTGCGTTTAGGTTGTAAATTAGTTAATAGTCCTCAGACAGCTATAATCATTGGCAGTAAACTGAAAGGGATTGCACAGTCAATGTACTGCCTCCTAAAATAGTAAAATTGAGCTGTGGAATTGTTATTTTAAAACATTTACAAATAGTTTAAATTAGAGAATTTTATGCTAGGGTTCTTTTTCCTTACAGCAAAATACCAATATTAGCCTTTTAAAATCTATGACTTGAATCCAGAGCTGCTTCCACAGGCTGTGGGATTGCAAGCAATATTTTCCCCACCCCACAACTTTATGCTCATGAAAAGGTGCTTCAGGGAGACCCTCCAGAAAAGCATGGGACTTCAAGCTGCAGGGAGAATGGGAAATCAATAAAAATTACTTCCCTCTTTCATACACAGGACTGTTTAGTTGGAAAGTGGTACCCCCCACCAGATCCAACACAGAAGCTCTAATGTTCAGGAGTCAGCAAGTTTAGATGTCTTTCTATACTTATGTACAGCTATTCTTAAACATAAATTAAACATAAATTATGGTAGAAATTCAGTAATGGACCTCATGTGACCTTGTCAACATGCATATGAATAGTATCTGTTATTCAAACCCAGATACGGTGTATAAATTACTCAGAAACAAGTTCTGGCAGCACAAATGTTGAGTTTAGAATCATGGAATAATCATGAACAAGATGCAAAGTACTGTGTGACTTGTACCTAAGGGTTATTTGGATGAATAACCCTCACCATATTTTATAGCAAGCTGCTTTTGAAACCACAGCATAAATGACACATACCTGCTGTTTGGAGGGGTGAAGCTTGATTACTGGGTATTATATGCGCATAGAACTATGGGTGATAGCTTTATTTTCTAACATAAACATCATGCGTTCAATGAATTTTAAAACAATTTTTAATGCCCAGCAAACATGTATTTCAGCATATAATTCTGTTTGTTTCAGCTCGGAGAACAACAGTCTTTGGAAGAAGCCATTAGAATAGCATCCAGAATACAACAAGGTGAAACACCAGGAATTGATGATTAACTCCAAATGTAGCTAAAAGAACAATAGAATTACATTTTATTTTCAATCAGCAAAAATCCATGCCGCCTGAAATCCATAAAAAGTTTGATGTGTTCTTACTCACAAATGCTCTGCACAGATTGTATGCAAGAGTGAAGAACGTTTTCTATGTATAATGGTTATGTACAATGAACTTTGAAAATAGATCAATTCTACCTACCCAGGACAATTCATTCCCTACCCAGGACTATGGAATTAGGATTTTATACTAAATTTTCTTGCTTATAATTATATCAGCTTCCAAACCAGACTACAGACAAGCAACAGATGCTATAGAAATACCGGGATGAGTTTTCAAATTATACAAACCCAATGAAGGCATTGCTGAAGATTTCAGATGTTTAAACCTTAATAATCATTTCAAAAATCCCTTGCAAGCAGAATAATTTTAATTGGTTTTTTTTCCAAACACAGTTCTGAATTTTGAGACCTTTGTAAATAGTATATTTTGAATTGTGTTTCACACACAAGTTAAAGACTCATTTTCTTTAGCTATCCCATCTCACTGATTGTAAATACAGACTGTTCATGCTGCAAGTGCTTAATATTATCTTTGAAATGGATTATGTACAAATGAGGTGCTTTCATTGTTCAATATTAAAGGAAGTAAATCTAATGTTTCAGTTTCTTTGCATATCACTGTCAGTTCTCCAGGATTTGTATAAAATGTATAGAACTTTTTAGCAATTACACATAGGCTTCAACAAAAGCAGATCATATAGTCAAATAAGTATCCATTTGAAGGCAATGTGTCTTTATCACTTTTTGAACGCTGAAAGAGTTGCAAGGTCCTCAAATTCATTGCAGGAGGTTTTTGTATCAGTTTCAGAACCTTTTAAATGTGTATTTTGAACACAGCCTGACCATATGTTTAAAAGAAGCATTAGCTGTATTGAAACCAGCAGCAATTAACTGAATTAGACAATCCTTTATTAAAGAGGCATTGTGGTGTCCAACAAACACTAAAAGATTTTGCTGAATGTTATGTTACTTAACATGCATAGACACAACAGGTAGATGCCAAAGCAGCAATCCACTGATTACACATTTTATAGCGTTACCCACAGCAATTTCTCAAATTACCAAATGGGCCTATGGGTCCCAAACTGTTGGAGACTCCTGGGCTAGGAGATTCGTGGAGATGTGTCAAAACTCTGTAGAATCCATCCCTCTAGCACTCATGGAATGAAGGTTGAACAACCTTCCATGTTGTATGCAACAGCACCAAGACTGGATGCTACTTATGCAGTCATGATACAGGGCTTGATCTTGGTGGGGACCACATGAACACTGGTAATGGTTGCTCGGAAGCAGGGCCACGTCAAAGTGGGCCAATGTCCATGGATTCCCACCCCTAAAATTGATTTCTCATTCATCCCTATTCCCAAAAAGTAACACAGAAAGACATAACTGTCATGAAATATAACTGGACTAATCTTGTCACTGACAGATGGCATTGTGAATTAAATCAACCAATAGAATTGGGTACCTAATTTTAATGCTACATTGTAGAAAGAAAAGTCTCTTCCTTTTGGATGAATTGTTTTTTTAAAGGACACTATCCAGAATTGCTTGAGCAGAGTGGGGTGAGAAACAGCTCACTCAATCAGACCATGGGTGTTATAAATTCTCTTGCTGGAAAGAAATCTGTAAGACTTAAGATAAACTAGCAATGAAAGTAATTTACACTGGCTACTTATCTGTGATTTTATGGACCTTTTACCCATAGCACTGAAAACAAGTAGAGTCTGTGTGATATCTGTAAGGGAGGGTCCTAAAGCGAACATACAGCTGAGAAATAAAAGTTAAAGATGAAAATCCTTGCTTTTGTTACCATTAAAGTCAGCATTAGCCGCTATACAATTTAAATATTGACTTTACAAGGTTATTGCTGCTAACATTGCACAAAAATAACTCACCCATTTGACCAGACATTAATTTTTAACAGACATTTTTGCTTTAATGGTGGGGATACTAGGGTTGTGAATGCAAGGTTAGGACAAGTGTAAGAAAACCCAGAGCTACAAACAGTATACAATTAAAACTGCAATCCTTTACATACTTAGCAGTGAGTAGTACATTGGATTGCACTGAAGTAGTGTACTATGCCATTCTACTAAGAAGCAAGCCCTACTGAGTTCAATGGGGTATCCCCCCAAGTAAATATAGGTTCGCAACCTTAGAATGTCAAGAGTAAGTTTACAAACTATTTTAATATACTTTGTAGTGATTTGTTTTGGATATACAGGAAGCACATCTATTATTCATGCAAAACGAAACTTGGAAGAAGGGTTGCAAAAATGAACATCTTTAATCCATTGATGTATTGAGAGCAAAAGTCAGTTTGCAGTGCTGCAAGAAAAGTCCTTTGGTTCTTTTAAACTTCTATGGATCAATATTGATGTCCATCTGATATGATGGGCCAAGAGTGCAGACCCTCAATTCCAGGACCCAGATCCCTCCAAGATTATCTAGATAACTAGTTCCCTTTTTCCCGGTCCAGTGTTTTCTCACAACCATCCATTGTTCAGTGGTTTCCCTGCATTTGTGCAGCTTTTCACCATTCTGAAGGGTTGACATGCCTCACCCAAGGCTGAGATACTGACAGTAACAGCACTAAACTAAAATATGCTCTGTGGTTTTGAGGGGTGCAGGTGGTTTTGGCTGTGCTCCATCTAGTACTAAAATGCAGTCCTCAAGAGTGTTTTCAAGCCTAAATTTGGCCTTGGACTGAAAGAATCCCCCATTGTGCTAACCTCAGCCAGCTCAAATTTTAATTATGTATATAGCAAGTCAAACATAGATGTGGCTGGAAAAGGGCTATGAGTGGGCAGCTCCATGTAACCAAAGAATCTGCTTCTACCTGACAATGCCAATACAGTGGGCTACCTGCAAAATTTTCTGATAACTATCTAAGAGCCATTCAGTACATCCTGCAAGTTTTTGCTAGATTAATCTCAGTTCATCTCTCTGTTGTAATAACTGCCAGTGCCATTTTCCATTGGAGTTCTGGAATCTGACACTCAAGTTTCCTGCTTTAGTTTTTCTAATTAAAATACGTATGGCTTAGCATTTCTTTACAACTCTTTACAGGAAAAAATGATTCAGGACAGCATGGGTATTTTGGACCCTCTAAGTTAGTGGGAGTGTAAGAAGCAGCCAAGACTGCTGAATCAAATTGGTAGAGAAGACATACTTTAGATGTAATCATACCCATGTTTAGACAGAAAAATAGCTGGCTGTGGGGGTGATGGTATTGTAGGACTGTTTTTCTATCTAAACTTGAAAGGCTTGCACCCCTAACTGCAGACACTGACATTTTGTAGCAGTTGCGCAACTACTAAGATTGCAATGCAGAGAATCAAAGGAATTACTGTATTCAACAATTAGCTAGTTAAAGTAAAACTATTAAATCTCAATGAAATATGTCAAAGTAATGTCTTACCAGCCATTGTAATATCACTGCTGAGCCAAAGGGTGAACTCTGTGTAGAGTAGCAAAGTTAAAATGCTCACCCAAAGGATTCCGCATTTCCCTGATGCTGTAATGGGGTGATCTGCCTTGTTGTACTGTATTGTCTTATTGTTGATTTAATATGAGTATTTTATGAATTGTATATATGACTTTTAAATGTGTAAACAGCCCAAAGGGCCTGCAGGCTATGGGGTGGTATAGAAATGTAATACAATCAATAAATAAACAATCTACTGTGTTCCACTGTATGGACCCAGTGTCCCCAAATTTATGAGTGGGACCAGGAGGCAAGATTTTAAGAATGTCTAGGGTGAAATAGAAGAGACAGAAATTGCCACAGCTGGACTACAGGGTTCGTAATACAAGATCCAAGATCCAAGATCCAGAAACCACCATCCTTTACCAGCAGCTGGAATTTGTGATGTAAAAAAATCAAAGAGATGTTGAATCTATAGCCTGAGTTAATTAATTCTGATTACCTAAGGGCTTTCAAAATACATCTTATTTTACACCATGGTTGCTTGTATAAATGAGAGGTAAATACTCTGTTTGCATCTATATTTACATGAGCAAGGGAGATTTATAATTTCATAAGCTTTCATCGACTACAATCAATTTCATCAAATATAGTGGTATATACCTACCAAATGAGAATTACATATGCCCCTGATGAAGTAGCCCCTAGTCCATGAGAATTTATGCCATAATATATACATATTATGAGCTATAAGACTCCTTGTGGATTTTGCTGCAGAACAGCCAAACACAGCTACCTTTCTAGGAAAATGCAGGAGGATCATGTAAGTCGGTGCTAATGTAGTGCCAGTCCATTCCAGGCAAAACATGCAATATTTTGTCAGCATGAATGTGGAATTGGAAGAAGTCAGCTTACTGAAAGGGAGATGACTGTACAATGGGGACATTGTTCACTCAGTGATCTCTCCTCCATCAGCTTTTAAAGGGGTCAGTACCTGTGTCCCACAGTATTGAACAACATTTTCAATCATGTTCATATACCGTGGGAGCACAAATAACTGATGCCAAGTTCACAGCACAGAAGACAGTGTGAAGATGCCATTCATATGACATGGAACCTCACATATTGTATCTGCAGGTACCCCAGTTCCTACTAGCATGTTTGTATGTTTCCTATGGAACATCAATAAAACCTCTTCCTCTGCTGTTTCTATATCATGTAAATTTTATTTTATTTAAAAATTTTGTGCCCTGTCTAAAACATAAAAAGTCTCAGGATGGTCCAACAGCAAAGGTACAGCATAATGACTAAAATAAAAATTAAGTCTTAAAATAACGGGGAAATAAAGTTTTTGGCCTGGTGCCAAAAAGAATAAATGCCCAGCAGACCCCCCTGGGGAGCATGTTCCACAGCCGGGGTGCCACAGCAGAGAAGGCCCTTCTTCAGGTAGCCACTCTCCTAATCTCTAAGAGTAGTCCTGAAGAAGGACCTCCAATCCAGATTTTAAGGGGTGGGCAAGCACATAGGGAAGGAGACGTTAAAAGATGCTTCATTTTCTCGTTTTTAATATTTTTAAACATCTAAGTATGGATTTAACTCATTTTGTGCTCTAACTTGATTAAAGTGTTTTGTTTAATTTTTCTCATACAAAACATCTATGAAAAACTGTTGGAGGGGTCCCAGGGAAGATGGTGTCGTGACAAAGTCTGTTTGGAGCTCTGCAGCTAATACAAACCAAATGACTAATTATTGGTGTTTTGGCTAAGAAGCAGCTTATGTTTCTATTTGAAGTAACAAGAGAAAAGGGGAGGCGAAGACCTTGAAAGTTTAATGAAAACAGAAAGTAGAATTAGAGACAAGATTTTAGTGGAGAAGAGTTTCAGCAGAAACCTGTGATGGTCTGAGTGAAAACCTAAATTTGTAAAACATGGCAGACTTCAGGTAGTAATTGCAAATCTACAGAAACTGGAAGTGAGTGTGTGAGTGTGTGTTACTAATTATCTAAGAGTCTGTACTTTCCTCAGCAATTTGCGGTGGTGTTACTCACTATTGGAAATTTCCCTTTAAATGTAAAAAAAAAAAAGCCAACCCCCAACCCCCCACACACTTTTTTTAATGGCCCAGGTCAAAAAAACAAAGGCAAAAAGGTCAAACCTTAAAGGTGTGTTGCATTTCTCTGTAGTCTTCCAAGATTGTGAAACATTCAAGATTGTGAAGAGGGCTTATCATTTGTCAACCTTGCTTCAGAACTGGCATTTGCTGAGCTCAAGGCAATTCAAGAGGAAAAAGACAGCCCTTGGGACAGAATATGCAGCCTAATGAATTAACCTTAAATGAGCTGATGTCAAATCTCTGAGCTTGCACTCAGTGCAAAAGTAAATAAATAAAGTTTTTCCAATTTGAATGAGATAATGAAATGGGGATAATGTAGCAGTTGAGGGATGGTTTTATGATTATGGAGGCTATTGAACACATTAAATAATATTTCTCTGAATGTAATAACCTTTTGCTTACACTTGTGGAAATACATAAAAAGGCTTGCTCAGACTCTGGTTAACTGAGTTCATAGAGTGGCATCAGTAAATACAGGCTGCAAACAAGTCAAATGTGATGGTTAGGAAGGTATACAAGAGGAATAAATAAGTGCATAAATATCTTACCTCCCCTTTGGTTCTGGGTGGACAGTCTATCTTTTGCCTCAAATATAAAACAGTAGAAACTAATACTCATGACAAATTATTGATTTAAATCCCATTTCAAAAAATCTAACCACCCCAAGTGGGGAGATGGCTGCGATTGTGCTGGGGAGATGGCCAAGATTGCACCTGTCTTTCCTGCAGGAGCGCACCCCTGTTCATGCCCGCCTCCCCTCCCTTTGAGCGTGCCAGCATGACGGGTGTGTTCAGGGGATGATGGGCAAGATCTTGGTCATGCTGGGGGAGCGGGGAAATGGCCATGATTTTTGTTGTTCCTTGTCACTTTGCTTCACATTTTTCTGATTAAAAAAAAAGTTACAGAATGGATTAACCTTATTTACATTGAACCTTATGGGGAAATTTAACTTGGCTAATGACCAGAGTCCTGGAATGGATTAAGTTCATGAGCCAAGGTACCACTGTATTCATGCCTGCATACATCCTCACAAAACTACAATGAAGATCATTGCCAAAAAAAGCCTTTTGAGGGAGTTAGCATTTTGGCAGTAAACTGACAGCTGTCAAAACAAGAGGACAATTCACACTTTTCCATATTCCCAAACACCTAGAACCTTCAATAAAAGTGAAAAGTGAGATCATCCTTAGAATACTGTAATAGAAGAAAATAAATCCCACGCCCTACCTTTTGCAAGCATAGATAATTCATGCTTTGGCATGAATGGCTTGACGCCTATCAAGCCAAACCAAAATGGAGGATAAGATTATCTAGATCCTTTCTGGGTCAGGATCCAGGATTGGTATCTCCTGCACTTTGTCAGCAAGTACATCTCAAGTGAGGGTGCCCAGTTTTAGAGCTCCATAGGAACACAGGCACAAGCTTGTAAAAGACTATTAAAATAATAGGTGAAAAGTTTTGTGCATAATAAGGAATCCCAAAAATATTGTTAAAATTTGAGAACCACAGGTATTCCCTCCAAGGTGCTGCTTTTGCATTTTAAAAGCAGCCAGCAGGAGGGGGAATTACTCAAGCCTGCTATCAAGCTGAATTTATGCTCTCCAGTAAAATGGTAAACATTCAAAAAGTGGCAGCAAAAAACCAAAATCATTTTAGGATTATGGCAAAGAGGGCAGCAAGCCAAGGCCAGGCATACTTAAGTGTCACTTGGTCATTTGTGGTAAAGCTAGCACTGATGGGTATCCAGAGAAGTCTGGCAGAAGGTTTTTGCAGATCTTGCCAAGCAGCTTGTTAGCTGATTACTTACTCGTAATGGGGTTAGTTACAACTACCCATCATAGGTACAACCTGTAAAACAAGCCATGAGTTGTCAGGATGGCTTGTTGCCCTCACACAAACCAACCTTCAGGAGTCAGTCCAGGTCTGAACAACCCCAACCCCTCCATGGCTGGTTACGAGCGATTTGACCCAGTATAAGGCAGCATCCAGGTCACACAAAAAGTAGGCATGTTAGCTGAAGCAGAGATTGAAATCCCTGTTAGCCTAAAAAAGGTCTTTTGCTAACTCAAATGCCACAAAATACTGAGCAGGTGCAAAAACAAAACAAAAAACAAAACAGAGGGGGTGAATGGCTGATTTTTATCACAGAGTCTACAGCTGATGGGTCTTAAGAAGAGGACTGCAGAATCTGGATTGGACTGTATTAAAGATGTAAACAGTATGTACAATATTTAAAAAAAATCTCTCCAAATTTTCCAAACATGCTCAAAGCAGCTCCCACCCCTAGGCCAACCATAATTTCCCCCCCACAACCCCACTTTTGTCGTCCTCCCCCCTCCCCATCTATAGGCTCAGGTGGTCTTATGTTACCCCTGTAACCAGTGCTTTTCTGGTAAAAAAAAAAAAAAAAGGTGCCGGAACTCAGGTCTCCACCGGCAGTAAGCACATACACCACTCCCAAGCCGGGAGCAGCGTCCCAAGCAGCTCTCTCTCACTGTCAGATAGCAGACACGATAGCAGCCTATAGGCACTATGTTAATAATGTTTGCTGCTTGATCTGCTACGCCGTTCAAAATCACTTCGTAAAATCCATTGGGAAAAAAGGTGCCGGAACGCCGTTCTGGTGCGTTCTATGACAAAAAAAGCCCTGCCTGTAACCTTCCCAAAGGTTTCTGGGAATAAGGGATCAAACACTGGCTACTCTTTTTTGAAAACATAAAATGTAGCTGCTACTTTAAAAATCGTTCCTTGTAAGATAAGCACAAGCAGAGAGAGTTGTAAAAAATTACATGGAAAAGTAAATGGAAAAACTATTCAATTTAACTTCCACCGACTACGCAAACACCTAGCAGACAGCTCTGCTCTACTTCCCTTCCTAAGAATGTCTGTCCAGCTCTTGACTGTCTGCTAGCGAGTCCTGTGCAAGCTGCGCGATTTGTTCTCACAGCTTCGCGCTTCCTTGCACATGGCGATGAACCCATTTAAAAGCCACGTGGGGCCCTTCGCGTCCGCATTTAGCCGTCTGGGGCTCCTATTTACCAGAAGCGGTAAATGTGACACAGACCAGCCTACAACCACGCTTTTAAAAAGATGTCTTTAATCGAGCGTCCGCGGTGGTATAAAGGGGTCAAGGAAAGCAACCCAGCCAAAGCAGCTCGTGACGATTAACAGTGATCATAGACTGCAAAGAACATGACGGCCACAGAGAAACGGGAGTGTTGCACACGCCACCCCAGCTGTTCTCTCCGTAGCACAAATAACTAAAAGCGACGAAGGCGCTCAAGTAGCCGCGGGACCTCCAGGGCGGCGAGCATTAGGACAATCCGATTTAGGCCGAGGCGTGGTGTCCGGTTGCATCCTACGTAAAGAGGGTTGCAGAACAATCGTATTCTTTTGGGTGCGACTGGCGACTTGAGAGCGGCGGGGTCGGGCTCACTGAGCAAAACGGCAGGTTATTCGGAGCGTCCCGTTGTCTGCCAGAAACGAAGTATAGGAAAACACGAGAGGAGCCGCTGCGGGGGACTGACTGGCTGCCTGTTGCCACAGCGGGAGCGCTGAAAGGACAGGCCAGTTTTGGCCGACTGCAGGAGAGGGGAATTCCAGCGGAGTCACGTTCTGCACCACCCGGTAGCTCCAAGGCTCTCTTTATCGTTCCACATTCACTCATCGGAGAATAAATAGCAAAGCTTCCTGCTTACTACCCTTTTCCTTCTATTTGGACACTCGTGCTACCCCATGTGCGCCTAAAGGCCCAACCAAACACGAATCTCCCCTCGGCCCCGTCCCGCCCCACTGGGCATCACGCAAACCAAGCTACCCGCCCCACCCCCTTTTCATCTCCGAATTCGCGCCAAATGGCCGTCTGATGTCATCACGTACGACCCCGCCCTCTGCCTATCATGTTTTCAAACGGAAGGGGCGTGAGGGATTGGTTGGTGTGATTGTCACGTGATTAACGGTCGCGGGAAAGCCGCGGAGTCTGAACCAGGGAGTGTGCGGTGTGACTGCGGGGAGGAGTGAAGCGAGTCGGAGTTTTGCGTGCAGGGAAGAAGCCCATCGCTCGAGCTGTGTGAATCCGCGTGCGCGTGTGTTTGGCCGCAGGGGGGCGGAATCGTGCCTGTCATCGTCCTTTCTGGACGAGGGAAGCTCGGGACGGATCACATTTTGCCAGGCTCTGCCATGAGTTTCCTGAGCCGGCAGCAGCAGCCTCCCGTCTCGGGAGCGCGGCGCTTAACAGCCCGTCGGGCGGCGGCCCCGATCCGGCAGAAATTGCTCTTCTCAGGCGGCGGGAGTGACTGTGAAGACGAGGAAGAAGAGGAAGAAGATGGCTACGAGGAGGAGGAGGAGGAAGGAGGCGGCAGTGGGAACAGCACCGGCGAGGATTCGGCCTTCCAAGAGGCCGACTCGCCCCTCTCGGTCAGTCGCACCCCAGCTCGGCGGGAGCCGCCTCCGCGGACACCCGAGGAGGTGGCCATGGAGTTAGCACCGTCAGCCCTCCTGGGCGAAGAGGGAGACTCTTGGGAGGAGGAAGGCTTCGGTTCCTCGTCTCCCGTGAAATCGCCTGGCGCTTACTTCATGGCCGGTTCGCCACCACTGAAGGGCTCCCGCCGTTACTGCGAACAGTCGTCGCCTCCCCGCCCGGATGCGACTCGGTACCGGGACCATCAGGAGCCCGGGTCACCGCTGCCCGAGTATCCTGGCACGCCGCCGCACAAGACTTTCCGCAAGCTGCGCCTCTTCGATACTCCGCACACGCCTAAGGTGAGAGGAGGAAACGGCTGGTGAACAGAGGACAATAGGGAGGCGGGCAGGCATCTGGCGACGGCGCCGCCGCCGCCGGGGTTTCAAAATGGGTGGGTGGTTAGGAAACGACCATTCTACTGGTTTTATTAGAACAGTGGAAGGGTTCTCGAAGTTATGGTGGCTAGTCTCTCGTAAGCCCCGAGCCTGCTGTTGGCCTATCTCTTCCGAACACGTGGGCGATCGGAGAATTTCAGGGGGGTTCCCAGGGCGGGCCACTGAGCCTGCCACCGTAAAAAACTGTTTGTGGAGGCCGCTTGTGCCCCGAATGGCGTGACCTGGCGGAGGCGGCAGCCCGTTGTTTGGTCAACATAAAAAAACTGCTCGCTCGTTCAGGGAAAAGAATGGAATGGAGCGAGGGCGATTCGACTAGCGGCGCTTCAGGGAATAGGCGGCACGCCCCTTATGCCTTTGTCAGTTTTTCTGAGCAGGCAATTTCAGAGGGAAGATGGATCCATGGGGGGGTGGCTTGTGCTCGTTTAAAATGAAGGGCAGCGGTTGGAACATGCTTTTCTGCAGGTATCCTGCAAAATACCAGGAGGCGAGAGGTTAGCCAATTTTTGTTGGACAGGCGAAGGACACTTTTGTAAGCTAATGATGATGATGAAGATCATACTTATGATCTCACTCTGCTTCAGTATCTGGTGAAGAAGGGAACTGTCAGCACATGGACGTATTATTCATTTTATTGTATTTTTAATCCGCTTAATAACTAATACTGTCAGGGAGGATTACTGATAGTGTTGGAAGGCCTTTTGTCTTGCTGATCTGTTGCATTGTAAATTAATAGCAGCATTAGAAAATACGGACTAATACTGCTAAGAAATGGCTTCTGTTTAAAACCATATGGAAAAACCTTTTAAACTGACATCACATTCCACTTCATGTATCAGTGCCAAGGCTATGAATGAAATTTTCCAGTTCAAGCCCTCCATCATCATGCTCATTACATAACAAATTAGTTTGCCTGTTAAAAAAAAAAGTTGGCATCATTGATAAGTCCTGCCCACATATTGTCCGTTAAGATTATGTAACTGAACTACAAATTGTAACTAAAATAGTATTTACTAGATTGCAAAGTGCACAGCCAATCTCCTACCATTTCTTGCTCTAGAATAGGAAAATTAGCCTAGACCATTATAACCCTAAGCCTGACTTTCCATTTTGCCTAGTGAAGTTGCATTGTTTATATTCAGGAGATCAGTTATAGGAGCACTCCTATATATATTATTTAACCAAACTGTTGTTCCAACAGTTTAGGTTCTAACTTTAGCGAATAGTAGGAAGGAGCTAAACTTAAATTAGAAAAGCTTCAAGTAGCCTTTTAAACAAAGTAGCTGCTTTAAAACTTAAACGATTTTCATTGATGTTGCTGTATATGTAAAAACTTTGGAGAATTTTAAAGTATTATATAAATTGAGCTGGAAAATGTTTCAGACAAGCTAATAACTACTTATTTTGAGGATTTACATATACATTAATTTGGCTTAATGTTTAGATATTATTCTATTAATACTTAAGGTGGCTTAACATAATGTACAGTGTTTCCTAATTAATATCTGTTTCTCTGATGTAATAGATTAAACCTAAACCAACAAGACTACTGTTCAAATCCTTGGTCAGTCATGAAGAAAAACAATTGTGTTATTGTGAAAATTAAGTGAACTAACTTCCTGCTTATATCCAGTGTTTAGGTCCATCAAAATGAATGGTACTCAAGCCAAACCTGAATAAAAACCTGTGTTTTCTATTGTTCTATCAGTTCTTAGTGAACTTGTAGCCTTCACCAACCTGGTGGCCTTCAGAAGCATTTGGACCACAACTTCCAGAATTCCTATCCAGCAGGGCCATTAACTGAGAATTCTGGTTGTTGCAGTCCAAATTTGCCTGAAGGGCACAAGGTTGGGGAAGGCTGTAGACTATATGGAGAAACTGTATATAGATGATGTGATTGAGCTTTTTGGTGGATGGAATGCTAATGGAATAAGTAATTAAATTACACTGGATGCTATTACCTAATATTTTGCTCCATAAACTTGCAAGATTTATTTAATTTCTATACCACCCAAAGCTCTCTGGCCAGTTTACACAGTCCATTAAGATGGATATAAGATTTTTCTACCCATGAGAAGACTATAGTAATAGTTGCCTTAATCTGGATTATTAAGAGTTGTATTATTACATTGCACTCTATGAGTCTGCCTTTGGAGATTCTTGGAAAAATTTATTTAAATAGCAAGGATGCTGTTTGGTAGTCAGCATCCACTGGGTTCCAGTTGAAGTCCAGGCCCAATTCAAGGTGCTGGTTTTGACCTATGAAGCCCTAAATGGCTTGGGACCAGGATACCTGAATGAATGTCTCCTTCCTTGTATGCCCTCATGCCCCTTAAGATCTGTGGCAGAAGCCCTGCTCCTGGAACCCTCTCTAAGAGAAGTAAAAAGGTCATCAACTCTGAGTAGGGTCTTCTCTGCCATGGCACCCAGACTCTGGAATTCTCAGGTTGGCCTGGCGCCGAGCTTATACTCCTTTTTATTTAAACTGTATTTTAAAATCAACAACTTCTTAACGTTTAGTTGCTTTTGTTTTGTGATTTACTGTTTTGTTTTATATATTCTGTTTCAATTTATTTATAAGAAATTGTTGTTTTAATTGTTCTTTTAAACATTGTAAGCTGCCCTGAGTTTTTTTATAATAGGACGGCATATAAAATATAAAAGCTTTTAATAAATAATAATAATAGTCATCCATAGGAGCATATTACACTCCTCTTAAAACAGCTCTACTGGTTGCCTGTTTATTTCTGGGTGCATGGCTCTGGTCTAGGTTGCCTGAGGTGCTATCTCTTCTGGATTAGTTTGGCTTATGCTATGCTAGGGAGGGTCATCTTCGTATTCTGGTGTAATGGCTAAGGTAGGGCTGGTTTAGCAGTAGGAGAGAGCCTTTTCTGTGACCACACCTAGGTTTTCAACAGTCTTAGATGGTCTGTTTGAACACTTTTGTCCTTTTTACCACCTAAGACTTTATTTTGCCTGGAATTTCACCAAATAGATTCTATGAATGTCTTCTGTTTTTCTTAGATTGGTTTTACCTATTGTACCTGGGCCTGCCTGTCTGATAACTTTTGTATTTCTTTAGTTTTTATTTTGTAAGCCATGTCAGCTTCGTTGAAGTTCTGTAAGTGCAACAGAAGAGTCAATCTCAAAAGACCAAATTTGATGTTTTTGTCTCCAATTATTTTGAATCTAAGGATCAACCTGGATGTTCTTATTTTATAAGCTTGTTACCACTGGATGGGTAATTGAAGGTCCACTTCTATTAACCTGAGCCCACTGCAGAACTGAAATCATCAGAGTGTGCTGTGTAATTTCCTGGCTGCAGATATAAATCGTAGTAGAGTTTGAAGGGGCCGGAAGACCATCAGGGTGCAGGACACCAAGTTAAACCATCCCTTTCAGATGGCTGTTCAGTTGCATCTTGCCCCATATGGGACAGGTTGGAGGGCCTTGCACAGTGGAGGGTTTGCTCATGATTGCCCAACAGTTTTTCAAAAGGTATATTCCCAAAATATAATTTATTTCAATTTTGCTTTTTTGTCACAGTTGTACAATTGTGAATATTTGCTACTTGCAGGTATTTGAAGCATCAACTGTGATCCAGACAGCAGAGGTATCTGCCTCCTAAACAATGCATAGAAGAGGCAATAAATTTTCCCATTTTGGTTTTTTCAGAAGGTGCTGTCAATAAAAACAAAAGTGTGAAAAGGGTTTTATGGGAAGGATTTAAACTGTCCTTGTAGCAGGATTCCCAAATTACTATCCCCTCACCCCCAGTTCCCACCAGGTGCAAATTTTACTCTTTAGCTGAAGCCTCTAGGTGCTTAGGAAAGTCCAAGTATACATTTTATCCTCCTTTACTGAAGGGAAAAGGATCTAGCTGTCATTCTGGATTCCTTTTGAGTGATTTTGGAGTGGACATATGCTTTTCTTTGTATAAAAATCCTGCGGTACTGATGAGTTGACTTTTACAGCTGACATTGGCTTGGGTGTCACCCCCCCAAAAAAAAACACCCACAGAAGATGACTTTCTTGTCCCCTAGCCTCTCATGTGGGTTAGTGGATCCTTTTGAATGTGAAAAGCTATAGCATGGGATGCTGAAAGAAAAAGGTTTTCACTGAAAATCACCCTTGGCCCTGTGTTTTGTGTAACTCAAGAAGCCTGCAAGTATGTAAATGTAGCGCCTTTTTGTTGTTTAAACCTGTTTGTTTTGTAGATTGCACTGATCAATGTCAATTCTGGTATATTAACTACAAAGGAACAACATAAAAGGAACCAGTGTATTTCATAGTGATGTATTAGTGTTGTATCTGGGAAGATGTGTTGAATGTTGGTGATTCACATGTTAAATCATCATGTTTTTCACACAAATTGCCCCTCTTTTTCAGAGTCTACTTTGCCGAGCTCAAGGAATGGGCTCTAGTTCAGCTAAGCTTCGAGGTGGTACTCTCTTTATGAATGTTGGAAAACTAGTAAAACAGGAATCTGACGTGGGGCAAGCACCTCATGTGAACATTAATCCCTTTACTCCAGACTCTCTCTTCCTTCAGTCTTCAGTCGGACAGTGTCGCAGGAGGAAAAGAACACACTGGAATGAGTAAGTGTGTGAACTGATTCTTGATAAGCTATTTAAGAAATAGCTTCTAATATTAATAAACTGGTGTAATTGTATAAATGAAGAAATTGTATTAACTACATCAGTCTTCAGGATGAATAAGTGGAGTGATACTTAAGTGATAATTAGTGATGCTTAATGGAAGTGGTCACAGCAGCAGTATAACACTTCTAATATATACTAGCGAGAACAGTAGCATGAACAGTCTTTGAATCAAACTAGACATTTGCCTGCTTTGGGCAATAATTTCAGACTTCATAAATAAACTAGAGAATGTCACATTATGTCAATGCAGCATAACCACTTTTAGTACTTTTTGCACTCTTCCTACCCACTCACCTTACCTGTGTCTTACCTCTTCTTTAGAATATGTGTTTGGATGGGTGAAAGAAGATACTTGGGAGATGCAGTAATAGCTGCTACAGTTCAGGTCATTACAGTGTGCCAGTCAGCCTGCTACTAGTGCAGTAGGGAGGTAGCAAATCCTAAAGGAAGCCTGGAAACTAGAAAAAACACTCGGGTTAGAACATGTCAGTGAGCACTGGGGACATGCCCTGTTCCAGAAATGAGCATTTCCACTTGTTCCAAGGCTTGCTTTAAGAATTGAAAGCTCCCCATGCTACAAGCAGTGGGTTCTGTGGGTGCACAGATGATGTAGGATACTGCCTTTTGTCTTTGTTATAGATTGTGAAGCTGATTAGGATTCTTGGGAAATTGCTGTATCTTGATTTGTCATATCAAGGAAAGTAAAGGTTTTTTAGAATTCTATTTTTTATGATTCTGTTTTTCTTCAGTTCCTGTGGTGAGGACATGGACGCAAGTGATGGAGAACTTGAAGATGAAACCATCAGACCTGCCAAGGTAAAATAAATACCCATATATTACTGAATACATTTTAGTTCTCTTGAGATCAGTGGTATTCACTTACTTTAACATCACTTGACTCTTAATTTTAGCGGATCAGTATAACAGAAAGTAATATGAAATCACGATATGCAACAGAATTTCATGAGCTGGAGAAGATTGGATCTGGAGAATTTGGTTCAGTATTCAAATGTGTGAAGAGACTTGATGGTTGCATCTATGCAATAAAACGATCTAAGAAACCTTTGGCTGGCTCAATTGATGAGTAAGTATTAGTGAAAGTTTGAATTCCAACTATTCTGGGTTCTTTTGTTTTGCTTCTATGTGCATATGATATTTTTAAAAATAAGCTGTCAAGGATATACTTGCAGCTAGAATGCTGCAATATTTATACTTGGAAAACAGTCATCTAACAATATATTAATTTCTGAATTACAAAAATTAGAATTTGCCCTAGGATATTTGATATATCTAGATCAACTGCAGATAGATCTGAGTGCTTTCTGTGTTTTGGTAGACGATATCACATGATTACATTGTGTACAATGGTTGCATGATCTTATCTAAAGGAGCTTTAAAGGAAAACAAAAATGAGCACCTAAGTCCTCATTTGTATCTATTGTAATTTAAAAAAACTATTCCTTTAATACTATATAACATCAGTGCTATGCTTACCTCCATACCTCAATTGAAACTTTATTGAAATGTTATCTTTGTTTCAATATCGCAGGCAAAATGCCCTTAGAGAAGTCTATGCTCATGCAGTTTTGGGGCAGCATTCACATGTAGTCAGATACTTCTCTGCTTGGGCAGAAGATGACCATATGCTTATACAGAATGAGTATTGTAATGGTAAGTTAAGCTTTTAATGAATCTGTCCTGATACTAGGTATTAAGGAAAAGTAAGTGTAGATGGATATTAAGTAGTTGTTTGTCTAGAAATGTATATTCCATATATTTTGAAGCCACGATGGGGAAGCATTCCTTTATCTGATTTTTTTTTTCCTGGGAAAAAATGGATATTTGGAGGGAAAATGAAAAATATGCAGCACTGATTTTTAGTGCTTTTTTACAGAACTGATGTCGCTTGGTTGCTTTAAGAATATAAAATATAAGTTCTAGGTAATATTAAAATAAACTGAATACAGTAAATAGTTGTCTTAACAAACTATACTTTTAAATTTAATAAACCAAACATGATAATTTTATGAGCAAAAACAAGTTCTACCTGATACTTTTTAGGTTCAGTTTTATTCTGACAAGAAGAAATCTTAGTAAGTCTTCCCTGAAACTTCTGAATCTTCCAGGATTCAGAAGATGCAGGAAGAGCAGGAGACAGGGGAAGACTGAAATATAGCATCTGTTTCTATTTGTGAGGATGTTCAAGGAACTTTCTAAATCTGTGGTGTGGAAGTTTGGGAAATTGTTCTGAAGGGAAAGCTATTGAGTACTTATATGGTTGCCCATCTCTCGTCTAAATGTTGAAGCCAGATATGAAAATGGATTTTTTTAATAATGGTAGTGTTGGATACCAAATTTCTTCAATACACATTTGAGGGGCACCACCGCAACCTTTCATATAGAGCCAGTTTTGTCCCCAGAGGTTTCATTCATAGGCAGCAGTTACGGCCTGAAAGGAAAAGCTGCCTCATCCCATCCCTGCTTTTGTGTATCTTCTAGCTCCATCTGTTGATCCATTGCAAGTTCATCTGGGAGAAAGGGCTATGCATGAAAAATCAGGTTCCACCTTCTTTCCTGGTGCCATTTATTTTTCACAGGAGTACTCTAAAATTTGGAGGGTTTATGTCTTTTTCCTCCTCCCCTTTTTACTGCTAGGTCTTGTCTTCTGCTATAAGGATTACAGTGAAGATTTTGTCAGGCAAATTTCATTCCAGCCTGACCAGGTGGACAAGACAGGCTTTGGAGTAATATAAATAAAGGGTGGGGCTAGTTCTTAAAATGGTTTACCTTGGCAAATTCAAAAAACCACACTATTTATCATTGTTTTATGGAGGTCTTTAGTGCTTTTTAAAAATACTTGAAGCATGTCCTGTATGGGTGTATACCATACATGGTAGGGTAATAATACATGGTTAGGCCAGGAGATTAATATTCTGTTATAGCTGAGGAAGCTAAGAAAAATGGCATTTCTGAGATGACCTACAAATTCATGGCAGTGATTTGAACTTGTATTTCTTAGTTCATAGCACATTGTCCTACAGTGCAATCCTATGCATACATATTTAGAAGAAAGACCACTGAATTATATGAGGCTTACTCCTGGTTATCTGCCTTTTTGAGAGTTCAGTCCATTGTGAATGTTCCCAATACCTTTCATTGTCTGTATTTTTAACAAGTATTTCAGAAGTATAAACCTTCCATAGTACTATTAGTTCTTTTTGAGGGACATAAATCTCACACAGTAGCTAAGACATTGAGTTCCAATTTAGGAAGTTCCAACTTGGAATCTTAACCGTGCCATTAATCCACTAGATAGCCTTAGGAAATCAGCACTCTCTCTCAGCCTTACTTTCACATCAGCAATATGGAAAATAAAAAATATCAATCTACCTTATAGGATTATTGATTACTGCTAGATAATTTTATTCTATATTTATTTTTATAGTCAATAGTTTAAAAATGTTTAAAATAAATAATGCACGTGTAGTATTTTGAGCACTTAAACACCATGTAAATGTGAACTATTTTCAATTGTTAACAAACAGCAGACAGCATGCTAACTGAAGGACAAATTTTTACTTTTTAAGATAACATGATTTAATTTGGTTTGTAGGTGGTAGTTTAGCTGATGCCATAAGTGAAAACTATAGAAATATGCGCTACTTCAGTGAACCAGAATTGAAAGATCTGCTTCTGCAAGTTGCTCATGGTTTAAAGTATATCCATTCAATGTCATTGGTACACATGGATATAAAGCCTAGTAAGTATTCACAGATCTGGTCTTTTCTATATTGGAAGTGTTAACCATTTTGGGACATAACTTCATACGTTGTAGCACAATAAGCAGTGAACCACACCTTAGTAACTGAAATGTTTAGTTTGAGAACAGAATAGAGGGAAAGAGGCATACAGCTGGCCAACTGCTGTTGAGATTGTTTGGGGCATTTTTGTGGGATTATTCTTGCTTGTTCACTGTGTAAAAATCTGGCTTCTTTCCAAGAAGGTGCTAATATTTATGTTACTTAACGGGTGGTACAAATTGTACAAACTCTGAAGAAAGGTTGCATTTTAAAATGTAATATTTTTATTACAGTTTTATTTTTATTTCTTGGTAGGTAATATCTTTATATCTAGGACCTCAATTCCACCAACTATATCTGAAGAAGGTGATGATGATGAATGGTCATCTAGCAGAGTTATATTTAAAATAGGTAAGGGGGTATGGAATTTTATCTATGCAGTCTTTCGGTTTGTTTTTGAGAAAATAAATATTTCCCTTTTACTGCTTTAATGTAGGTGATCTTGGCCATGTTACCAGAATATCCAGTCCACAAGTAGAGGAAGGAGATAGTCGTTTCCTTGCTAATGAAGTTTTGCAAGAAGTAAGTAATGCTTTGTTAAATGAAGCTAAATTATTATTCACTTGGATGTGGATCCTAAGTTTTTTGGATCTTAACTTCCCTACATAGAAGGAAGTTGCATTTATGGATATTTCCCCACACATGGATGGAGCAAAAACCTGGGCTCACCAGGATGGATGTCTAATCTAGTGATATTCTGCGCTAAGAACTAAACTTTCTTTCTTTTTCAGAACTATAATTACTTGCCAAAAGCAGATATTTTTGCTCTTGCGCTAACCGTGGTGTGTGCTGCTGGTGCTGAACCACTGCCAGCCAATGGGGATCAGTGGCATGAAATTCGACAAGGGAAACTGCCTAGAATTCCACAAATACTTTCTCAGGAGTTATTAGACTTACTAAAGGTAAGACTTTTGATAAATGCCTGTGGCAATGTGCTGCAGCTTTGTTTCTTTCCTCCAGTATGGGCATGAGAAGGCTGGTCAGCCATAATTTTAATCTCTTCCAGGTAATGATAAACCCAGATCCAGAGAAAAGGCCCTCAGCAGTGGCTCTGGTCAAGCATTCTGCACTGTTATCTACTGCCAGAAAGAGTGCTGAGCAGCTAAGAATAGAACTGAATGCTGAAAAGTTCAAAAACTCTTTGTTGCAAAAGTAAGTCAAATATGTACTGTGCTAACTTTGGTTTCAAAATACTAAGAAATTATGTTAAATGCTATTTCTATAAGTACTTCCTGACAGTTTAGGACCCCTAATGTATGGAATGGGCTTCCTTGGGAGGTGGTTGAAGCCCCATCGGTGTGTTTAAGGATGGGCTGGACATGCACATGATAGGCATGTCATGAGTGGAACTGACTGGAGCCAGGGATCAGACTAGATGGCCCAGGAGGCCCCTTCTGACTCACTCTGTTTCTATGTTACAAAATTTATTGCATCTTTTATTTAAATAAAAACTATTGATGACTGAAACCTCAGGCTTAACTGCAAATAGTTAATTGTACAATAGCCTGGAAGGTTTTACATTTTTTCCTGAAGTACAAGTTATATTCCATTCACTGTAGATAGAGCCAACATTTTGATAATCTGCTTTACTTCATTTGCCCTAAGTGTTGCTTTTCTAAAGTGTAAATCAAGATGCCAGCACAGTACAGCACGGTGTGGATATGTATGGATTTCTGTTTGGTTTGCCCTTGGAAAAACCACATGCATGTAATTCTGTGGAGTTCTGCCATGGAGAAATTCTTGTGCCCCCATTGAGGGGACAGTTGCTCCCTCTTTCAGTGAGGGAGGCATGCAAATCCCACCTTTGCATTGGACCATGAAAAGATGTGCAGTAGACATGTGAGTCATTTCCCCTAAGGCTTCCAACTGGGAAAGATTTTTGATTTTGAGGGTGCCACCAGTCAACAGCATGTGTTCATACAGTTGAAGTACCAACTGTTTACAATTGAGTCTGAAGCAACTTTGCAAACATGATAATGTGAAGAGCATGTCCTTTCTGTGACAAGAAGGTACCTCTGAAGAGTAAAAGGATCCCTCCTTATCTGTAGTCACTTAGCAAAGTAGCAAAGAGCTTGCAAATTTAAAAGGAAGTAGTTCCAGTGCTGGAAGCAGTATGCCTTTGAAGATAAGCTGTTGGGGAACACAAGTGGGGGGATGCTGTTGCAATTATGCCTTGCTTGTAGGCTTTCTTTAGGCATCTGGTTGGTTACTGTGGCAACAGAATGCCAGGCCCTTTGGCCTGATCCAGCACTGCTCTCACGTTTAAGTGTCCCACAGTGTGATTTTTCATTCACCCTTAAAACATTTGCAAGTGATTTACTTTCATGGAGGAAAGGTGATGAATTCCTGTTTGATAAGAATCATCCACTGAGGCCAACACTTTCTGTAAAAGGAACAAACTTTTTAAAACTGTGTAGTGTGATAAAACAGACTAATCCTGCATTGGTTCACGGAACTCTGAGGCATGACAAGCTCTCCAGTAAACCCTCATTGGGTAGGAGTGTCAGTCCAAGACTACAAGTATTAAAAAAAAAAACACTTGCTGCAACAAGTTGCTAACAATTAATGGCCAGAAAATATTGTGAACTTGGATATTTTAGTCTTCTAAGAGCACCATGTTAAAGATATGGCAGATGCTGAAAAACTCCTGGTGGATGGATCATCAACTCTATGAATTGTACAACATTCCATCCCTCAATCTGGAGTGATAAGGTCCTGCTATGTTGGGAAGTACTAATATTCCAGGTAGATGCCCAGGAGCATCACAGTGAATGGCAATGGAGCAGACTGCATAATACCTTTCTGAATCAGTGAGTTCACCTCTCACAGAAAGATTGGGTGGAATAAACTCAACCCACAGATAAACCTATATTGAATTTTGTATGCCCCCAAGAAATCAGGTTGAAAGCCGAGGAGTCTCAAGGGATTCATTTCCAAAACAGAATGAACCAAGCTGGTCAGTTTCTAAAGAAGTGAAGCAGGGTGGGGTGAACAGTATGTCAAGCACATCATATAGAGAAGTTAGCACTGTTCCTGCACCAAGTCTGCTGTTACTTTGACGCGGAAGTCTGGAACTGGTGCTTGCATTTTTGGAAAGAGTCCCAGTGATTCTGTGAGCTTCCTGTCAAAAACATGAGCCAGGTCCCTCTTATCAGATAGATGGTCAAAGAACAAAGTGGCCACCTCCCAAAGGAAATACTGGAATCAGGACATGAATGCCTGATAGTTCACAACTTACATGGCCTGATATGCATTAGAATAAAAGTATGTACCATGGAGTACAGCTTGTGTCCTACACTGCTACCAAAGATGTGTGAATTTTCTCTGTGGCTTTATTCTGTGCCACCTTCTCAAACATCAAGATTGGAACAGAAAGGTGTAGCTGTCTTCCTCTCTCTGACAGAGGTTCTTCAAATGCTTGGCAATAGAAGGAACAAGAAAATTGCTTTTCTGGTAGAGTGACCTACAGTCAAGTAACAGTCAAGCAGCCTGTAACAGAGCAGGTAGGATTTGTGTGATCATGGGATGGAGATGTCTGACTGATCCTTGATTGGAGCTTATAGATGTTAGGCCAAGACAATTAGACCTGTTTGATGTATGCTTGAGTGTCATCTAAATGGAAGGGACAGCCCTGATCACCCAGCAGCTGTCCCAGTGAAGATACAGAAGAGCTGGAAGAAGAGGAAGATACTGAGTCAGATTCAGCATAGACAGAATTTGAAAAGCACAGCAAGGAGACCTTTCAACTTGGGTACCAATGTCATATCTACAATGACAGAGGCCCAAGAAGTGACCACCTGGAGGTACAGATAGACACATCTGGCACTTACACATATTTGCTGGTGCTAGATAAGATTGAGAATTTGGAACTTTTGAAAGGCCATGTAATCAATACAGAAACCAATGTTATTTTTCATCTTTTTGTAAATAAGGCATTTATCCTTAGGCTTCTTGGGCCTTCCGGTCAAGGGATTTCCCTGGTATTGAAGCCAGTGGTGGCTCTCTTGCATCCTGTGAAGAAATACCAACAGGAGTGAATGTGTCTGTAGGCGGACTTGGATTTTGTAGTACTGAGGCAGAAGTTGTCAAGAACCACTGCAGTGGACAGACCTCTTGTATATACTGCTATAGGCATCAAGATTGACAAAGCCATTCCTTAAGCAAGGGGAGCAACTGTAGGTATCAGTCCAAGTGCAGAAAGACTAGTCTGGCAGACTTGTTTTGAACATGTGAATCAATGGCTTCAAATCTGTTCTCAAAGCATCAAGGCAAACAACACACAATGACCCCAATTATGTGTCGGGGCACTGTGGGTTTTTCACACAACTAATGCACCATGGCTTATTGCAAGGGCAAATTGATGTGGCATGCAAACATGCCCACTGCTTCCCAAAGATGCTGCTCTCCATCTCTGTTCTTGAAAATGCCCATCACTGCAATTAGGTGTTTTCAAAATCCTCCAATGACACAACTTAGAGACTTCTAGAAGCCTGATTTCGGGGGAGTAACAGTATTGGGGAGGGTAGAATTAGCCTTCCCAGCTCTTAAAATGCCTCCCCTTTTCAATGAGATTAATTGCATTGTACTGATAGGAGCAGGGGAAATCTCTAGTTTGCAAATCTCTAGAGAGTAAACATAAAAAAAATTCAGGTAGGTAGAAAATCTGTCTTGGATCAGCTGCTGCTTGGAAGTAAATCACTTCTATGAAGGAGTGCAGACTGGTAGAGAAATTAGCAGGCTCTAAGAGGCTTTCTCATAGGCAGTTTTCAGCACAAGGACTAGAGGTTTCCCCCATCCTCCTTATGTAGAATTGTAGCCTTAATCTCTTTGGAATGATTCTGGATGTAACTCATTTTAGCAATGTTATTTGGAGGGGAAATAACCCATTTTCCCCTTACTTCCAGGGAACTGAAGAAAGCGCAAATGGCAAAGGCAGCTGCTGAAGAACGAGCACAGATTACAGATCGAATGACAACTAGGTCTACAGCACAGAACAGAACAACTCGTCTAACTGGAAAGAAAATGAACCGTTCAGTTAGCCTTACAATATACTGACTTGACTATTGCATAAAACTGGCAGAGGAGGAGGATGGACTAAATTAAAAGCAGAAGAGAAGATTGGATGTCTAATGTTCTGTTTAATCACTGTCAATGGATTTTATAAAGAAGACTTTTAAATTTTTAATTTTACCAATTGCAGTTTAAATAACTGTATATTTCTCTATTCTCAAAAGAATCTAGGATACTAACCTTAAAGCCTTTCAGTTACTCTGTATTGTGCCATTCAGAGTTAACCACTAGGTGTGCTGCTTTTTAGTTGTAATGCTTTGTAATGAAAGGTGATTACCTAGTATTTTAAAGGGCTTTGTTTATAAACTGCTCTATTTGGAATAGAGGGAGGAAATGCCATGGGGAGTGGCCAGCAGGCCAAACCTTACCTGATGTCAGGTAAACTATTGTGAATTTTACCCATGTATTCAACTGGGAGCACTTTGTTAGGCATTGCTTAGACCACAGGGATAAGCCTGTGGAAACATGCCATGTGAGACTGCTGCTATTTTTAGTTTATCCTTGCTGTAAAACTGTAGCATTAAAACAATCATTGTGTTAGTGGGCGTTGTTTAAAAAAAATTATGTGAAAAATACCAAGCTGCCTACATGAAAGCAGCTTCTTTCTCTGAAGTTAGTGTACTGTGTACAGTGTCAATGCATGAATTTTATATATGAGTTACATTATTAGTGTAAATGGGTTTTTTGTTTTTGTAATTCTTTCTAATAAAAGTTCTCCAAAAGTTAATTCTTCCCCCTTTCCCACATTTTCCTCTGTTAATATTTGAATGTGCCCGTTTGCATATTTTAGTATATAAAATGTGTACATAACTGTATTTTTCAAAATGAATGTATATAGCTGTTCTGATAGTGTACAATATTGAAAGCTGTAGCTTGAGATGCCAAAATATCCAATTCAAGTGTATTTCAACCGTAGTTGGGAGATTAATATAATAGGCCTTAATCTGTTCTGATAATGCCAAAATAGTTGCTATTATGCACTGTTTTGGCTTAGGCCAATATTTCTCATTTGAATGTTACACTCTGTTTTTAATTAGTATTGAATGGGAATATTAAAGTGACATTTTGAAATAAATACTGTTCCGTTTTTGTCAACTTTGAAAATCTCAGTAGCTCAATTGTAAATACTTTTTAAAGTGCAAAGTGGGATGTTGTACCATGGCTTTTGTGATATTCTTCTTGCCCAGTAAATACCCCCTTTATCCCTTCACCTTGGACAACCAGCTTAGGTGGTTCTTTCTGTACCAGAGGGAGGAGGTGTCTGATCATAGATTTCTAGCTCTGAGCTTGGAGTTCTGTTTCCAAGTCAGTACTCTCTTTCGAGCGTCAGAGCTGGGAGTCTGCCTTCTAGAAGCTTAGGAGCCCAGAGGATTGTTCCTTTAGATAAAACATTTTTATAAAATATTTTGTAGAGATGATTCATCCAAATCCTGATCATCTAGTCAACATGTCTATTGAGGAAGCTCCTACTGTTTGAAAGAGTGCTGCCTTTGATGCAGGGACATTTAATTTCAAGAGTGGATAACAGCTAACACAACTCTAGATGTTCTGGATTACAATTCCATCATTTGTCTACCATAGGCCATGATAAGGGATGATGGGATTTGTAGGTCCCAGTATTTGGAAAACCACAAGTTGCCCACTCTGATTTAATGCACTTCAGTCTTTATTACAAACACCAGCTAATGCAGTTAAGAACATTTGATTGGCAAACTTATGCAACTTAACCATTAAGTTAGAAAAGGAGGTATGCAAGATTTTGGTAAAAAATGACAGGCATTCCTCATTAACAGAAGTGATAAGTAGCTATGCTGCAAATCTTTCTGAAGCTCACAAGACATGACAGGAAAAACAACTGGGTTATGGAGGCAAAAGAAAAAAGCCTATAACAAGGAACTACAATGTAGCAACATATTCATCATCTTAGAAAGTTGTTTCTGAGGAAGGAGAGGTAATAGTCAAACCTTAGGAAAAGCTTCCAGTTTGGAACTTTGATTTAGTTCTGTACTGTTCATCTACAAGTATATTTCCTGTTTTGAGAATCGATTGTGGTCACTGTGCATCACATACAAGGGCTCTTGGCTTGGGTGGAACCTCAATTCAGGAAACCACCATGCCTGAGAAATTTTTGGCCCTTTTACCATTAGGGGGTTGCATAGTCCCTACATTCCATTTTGGCCATTATGGGTTGTCTTTTTTCATCAGAGAAAGTACTCTTCCAGCTGAGAATATTTTTAATTGATTTCTTTCTGTAGCCATTTATTTCAGTTCTCCTTAACTGCTTTTTTGCCCCTGAGGCATATAGCCTTGAAGCCATCTTTTTGCAAGTGTAGCAGTAAACTTCCACTTGAGACGGCCATTTTGTAGACCCCATATTGTCAGGTCTTCACTAAACAGGCCAGAAGACTGAAGAGAGTAGTGAAAGTGGCAGAAACCTGCTAACAAAAACAGCTTCTTCATCAAAAGGTAGCTTCCTCATCAGTTACAGCTACAGAAACCAGACCACTGCTGTCTCCTAGTGTCAGCAATAACAATGGACTAAGGCAGGGGTCGGCATCCTTTAACACTCAAAGAGCCATTTGGACCTGTTTCCCACACAAAAGAAAACACCAGGAGCCACAAAACCCTTTTGACATCTAAAATGAAGGTAACACTGCATGTATCGTTTTTTTACCATAATACTATGTATATCTTCATTATGATTTAGCTGCAGCACTTGTTCAGTCACTAAAAACTTATTTTTAATCTTACATTATAAACTAGTAGGACTCCTTTCATATATTTTGAATAGGAGAACAGCTTCCTGAAGAGTCAAAGTCAGTGCTGCATGCATTAAACAGCAAACCCCATAAGTTTGTCAGCAGTAAAAGCAAATGAATCTACCCAAGTATCATTAAATGTTTGGTTTTCTTCAGAAACGTTTGTTCAATTTATCCAAGCGCTGTGCCGGCTGTGCCGGGACGGGCTGCAGATCGGCAGCGGCTGTGACACGAGCGACGGAGCCGCAGCAGAGGCATTCAAGAGCCACGTGCGGCTCTGGAGCCACGGGCTGCCAACCCCTGGTCTATACCTTTCAAGGTCTCCTCAGTATTAATGGCTGTGACTTTTGTGATAGTGCCTTTGACCTGTTTAAGAATGAGGTTCTTTCAGAATTGGTTCCTCTTGGTTCCTCTTCCTCTGCACCCTTAGGATGCAGCCCTCTCCAGATGAATCCATCTGCACATCCTGAAGGATGTACACAGTTCACTGCACTGGTATACACACCACATTGATTTAGCAAAGAGGATCCCATTCTACTAATATGCTCCAACCAGGGCAATCACCATTGATGCTTCTCTCTGGGGCTGAGACTCTCATTGTAATGACCTGAAAGCCCAGGCCATTGGTCACACTTCAAAACACATTTTCACATCAGTCGTAAGGTCTGGGGCATAGGCAGCAGGAAGCTAGGCAGAGGCACTGGGAGCCAGGCAATGCAGTCACTATGGTATAAGCCCCGAGTCCAGTCACCAGCCCAAACCAAATCCGAGTCATAACCTAGAATTAGCCAAGGTCAGAGCCAGGATCAAACAAGAGAGCAAACAAAGTACAGTCCAATAAACAAGAGCAGAGTCAAACAAGCCAGAAAGACTGCCTGAAGGAGCAGGTAACAAGGAAGCAGGAGCAATGCCCACAGAGAAAAAGACACTGGAGACCAGTACTGCAGAGGCAACTTCTGAAGGGAAGAGCCAGTTCTTAAATAGCTCTTCCTCCAAGGCTCCCATTAGTGCTTGTGAAGGCCCTGGTGGCTTGCAAGAGAGTCTGGTACAAATCCTGCAACTATCAGGGTTGTTAATCTGGTACTTGGCCAGCAGGAGGAGCCTTGGAGCTGCCCAGATCCTGACATCAAGAATTCAGGAGCTACTGGCAGTACAAAAAGCCCTTTACTCTCAAGATTCAATGCAGTTCTGGAAGGGGAGTGGGAGTGGAGCAACCTGAATGAATAAATGATTTTAATTAAGGAGCATCTATTTGTTGGTCCTGGTGGAAGGTAGCACTGTTATTATTGTATTGATTATGTTCATCATTATTAATTATATTATTTGTATTGCTTTATATTTGTGTAAACTATGAGTTTTTGGTTAAAACAATTTTTTTTTTTAAGTAAAGACCTCTCTGACTTTGAGCTTCAGATAGCCAGCCAGCATATCCAGATCATCACAGTATGATAGTGGTCTGGTCTAACAACAAATATGGATGCACATGCTTACTACAACTGCTCTATATAATCCCAAACATCTGTAACTGTGTCGTTCAGTGCAGTGCAGTGCTTTCAGCTTTCCTAGGATTGACAATCTTCTTGTGGATGCTGTCAGCCAGACATGTCAGCCAAGGCAGAATGGGAGATTGACCCCTATAACAGGCTGGAGCTCTTTCACACATGGGACGTGCCTCTTGTGAATCTCTTTGCCAACCCAGATTGCCAATTATACTGCCCTGAACAGCGGCTGGAAAGGCATCCTTGGGGGAATCCCTTCCTTCTTCGTTGAATGAGATGCTTTCCCGTCAAAGTTCACCTGGCTGCCACTTTTGCTTTCATGTTCCAGGAGGAAATTCTTCAGTCTTCTCATACTGGATCTTTAAATTTTGTATGTGGGATATATAATGTCCCTCCCCGCAGTTAAATCATGCATCCCATATCCAAACCTCTCTATTTTGTTAAAGGCACTCATGAGAAAGCCTCATTCATATCATTACTATGATAGTAATGAAGCCATTACTATCATACATCTTTCTTCACTGATCAGGAAAGTCACTTCCCTGATGGCCATCAGTGCACTGGGCTAGTGAACTTGCTGCACTTTGGGTTGACTCAAGCTACCTTATCTTTTATAAAGACAAGGAAGTTCTCTGACTGAACATTTCCTTGCTCCCCAAAGTAGTGTCAGATTTCCACATCAACCAGGACAGTGTTCTGTCTTCTTTGCCTGCCATATCTCTGGAAGCTACTATGCATACCCTTGAACTCAGAAGGGCATTTGCCTTTTATAAGCTGAGATAGGAGCCAATTAGGAAAATTCCTTGCCTTTTTCTCTGCTAGGGGGTCAAAAGCAGGGGACTCCCAGTCTCTTCCCAACATCTATCATCTTGGGTGGTACAAACTATACTACAAACATGCAGGACTCAAACTAGATGCACTGATTCAAGCTCACTCCACCTGCACAGAGACTACACCAGCCACCTTTATTTAGGGTGTTTCAATCACAGAACAATGTTGAGTAGCCATGCACATTTATTACCCACTAAAGATCATTTAGATGCTACAGTCAGAGCTGACTGCTCTTTTGGGCAAGCACTGCTCTTCCCTGTTCTCTGGTAAGTCAGTTTGTTAATCATCCATATATGTGATACGAAGAGACCATAAAGAAGAAAGACAAGTTGCTTGCCTGTCACTGTTGCTCTCTGAATTGTCATCTGTGTTTTCACCCAACCTACCTATCATCTCCACTTCAGTGTCTGGACTGCATATTTCAGGCATGCATAGTATTGATACCAACTTCAGTACCAACAGTCTCCATTCCAAGGCTATAATGTTGGTTTCAGCAAACTGAGGGAATAGGCAGCAATCTGTAACGATATACAAGGGAAGGTGCGTTCCTGACAAAAACACTGCTGTGGAATCAATTCCCAAGCTGAGGCTCCATGCAAGTGCAGAGCTTAAATGTGTCAGTGCACAGGTCACTTGAAGAACTACAGCTGCAAGTAAGAAACATTTCTTTATTGAATATTTTCAGGAAAAGGTAGGGGAATTTATCGGATCTTATAGGGCCACGTTTTGTGCTCTTAAGACTTGGTTCTCATTCTGAAGCAGGCATTTTTCAGAATGTATGGATTGGATTCAGACTTGCCATTCTACAAACTAAAGGGCTTCTTCTGTTTGTCAAATGGGGTAAGGTCCAGTTATTCAGAAACTGTGGCTGATGTATGGCAAATTGTGTAGAGCTCTATCAGCTTCCAAAATTACTTTCTCCTTACCCCTGCTGTGAGCGGAGTTCGACTTCTGGGTACTGTGTACCCAACATACAAATGCATCACACTGACTAAATCTTGTGCCT